TATTCAGAAATGGTCCCCCTTCGAAGACCTCCCACTTTACAACCTTGAATGGAATAAAACAAATAGTGCATGCTTGATAAAAATAGTGCATGCTTGATAAAGTTAACAAAATCATTTATAAATCCTTCACATTAGTCCTAATTAAGGGATGTATAATATATTTAAATAAATTACAAGAAACTATAAAATTAATGTACGCAAAAAAAAGAAAGAAAGAGAAGTGAAAGATAAATATATACCCATCCTAGACTTTTGAAGATTCTTTTGTCTATAGCTATTTATATAAGTTTGATCTTACCATCCAATATTTCATCTGCTTGCAGTCAGATTTCATATGAATATGAAATCTGACTGCAAGCAGATGAAATATTGGATGGTAAGATCAAACTTATAGAATCTCCCAAATCATATTCATATGAAATCTCTGAAAGTCAAAAGATAGTACAAACAATCCAGACATTTTCAGAGCCTATAAATAATAATAAAAGGCCAGATATATATAAAATATAACTATTCTGTAAATGCATGTGTCGGTTTGCCTACACTTAAACGTTTATTCTTTTTCTTTACTGAGACCCACTTGCTTACTTAATTATAATGAAAGGTACAACATAACATAAAAATCAATAGCATTAAACCTTATGATTCATTATTTCCTAAAGTTAGTGGTATTGAGAATAATTTCTAAGAGCTCAAAAAAATTCTTACCGATTGATAGCAATAGAGCAAACGAGTGCGACGTTTCCTAGGAGACAATCACCCCTATTAACCAATCAGAAAAAAATTAAGATTCGGTATGAAGTGAGAACCAATCAAAACAGATTTAACAACTCATCTGATCTTGAGACCTCGAAAAGCAAAAATAAAAAATTGAACGGATATCAACAAGAATCTTTAATATCTAAAGATCTACCGGTAGATCTAAAAAAAAAGTAGTAAAAAAGTCTTCTTCACACAATAAGCATATCAGAAACCTTTAATAATCAGCCACCTATCAGTAGGCTTCAACTGTAATGCAATGGACTGCGTGCTACTCTGAGTGGTGTATAGGCCTATGCTCAAACAGCTCACGAACTGACATTCATGAACCATTTAAACATATGGAAAAAATTGAAAAAGAAACGACAAAAAGGTGAATGTCTGCCATTTAAGTTGTATTTTAAGAAAAAAGGGGGGTGGTTGGAATTGTCGACTTACAAAGAGGTGATGCATGATTCCCTTTTGTGAAAAAAAAAACGCACTTTTGAGCAGTGTTATGATTGAAATAAATGTTATGTCTACAAATTTAATGGATTTCGGCATCGTCAAAAAAGATAACCATTTGTGTTTACAAGCGATGCCTAACTTAAACATCGGCACATTTCCCTATCATTCCGCATCATTCCGCATCATTCCCATTTTTTTCTCCCTCCTAAAAAGCATGATATAGGCAACAAATTGCTTGCTTTATAATAATAATAATGAGTTTCAAATCTCAAAAAAAAAAAAAAAAAAAAATTCAAATGTTGTCACAAATGTAGCTTTATAGGCTATTGTTAAAAATCCACATAAAAGTCAGCATTATGTGTAAAATTGTTCGTGTTCACAGTTATAATTACGTATAATTGTTAAATTAAATATAAATATATTAAAGATCCAAAGATAATGTTTCTCTTTAATTTCTACCCGACGTAAAATAAAACATATTGTATTGTATTCCGCATCCCCTTAAAGAAATTATTTTTCGCTATCAAGAAGACAAAACAGGAGTTCGTAGGCCTACGTGCCCGCCCTCAACCCCCGTTTCCCATTGCATGCAAGATAAATCAGCCAACGCCAAAGTGAATTTTCTTTGGAAAAAATTCTCCTATTCACGAATCATTGTTCGACCCTTCTTTGCACTTGTATTTTAAATAAAATTAAATTAAAATGTTTTTAATCAACTATTTGCAATTGGTTGTAAATGACTGCATGGCCAGTTTTTATTCCATTTCGGCTATGTCTTTCTGTACATTTTAGAGATAACAACCGAAGTCATTTACTTTTATTTGAGGTTTTGAGATTTGAAATTGGAAAGATTGGTATAGCTTTTAAGGATGCGTAGAGATACAAAATATGAATTCGGGATATTTCGAATGCGTACAGTACACATGTACTTGAAATTTTAAATGGGGACACCTTCTATTATTAATATTATTATTATCATTACTGGACAACATTTTCACCAAATGCATAAACCAGTACATGTACATATGCATTCGACTCAACATCAGACTGATTGACCGTTATGCTATCACTTCTATCACTACAAGTAGGCCTACTACTAAAATTACAATGTGCAATGGACGCTCACGGGGCGGACATATTGCCATTAGCTTCTATCAGAAGGCTGATGTTTTGTGCAGTAGTGCATATAACCTTCGTGAGACAATATGCTGTCATCTACATTTTTGTTTACATATAAAACGTCTAATGCTGAGAGTTTTAGAGGAATCCTGGGAAACACTGTGCATTCCTGGAAACCCCACCGTTCAAGTATTTCGCTTATTTCCCCAAATTTCTGTTCCGTTCTTTTGGCATCCTTACTTCCAAACCCGTGGATGTCATGGACCTTAAAATCCACCAAGATCATGTTGATTGTAAACTTTTCAAATGGGAAAGTTCGTAAAACTTCCAGCTCTGAATTTTCGATATCAAGTACCAAAAGATCTATGTGTCCTATGCCCACACTTTGAAGTATGGTGTCCAAACGAAAACAAAATATTTCATAAGACTTCACCACGGTTGCGCGTAATTCTTGGCGAGCTTCCGGGGTATTAAACAGATTCCCAACCAAACCACCATACATTCCAGCAGCCAAATATGTCATTCTTCTTGACTCCGAGTCTAAACAGGCACTCAGTTTGAAGGACTCGGGTCGGTTCTTAACAAGTTCAACAAAAGCGACAGGGTTAGGTTCTATTAAAAGCCCTGTCCAATTCCGTTTTCGCGCCAAATACATGGTGTCAGAATAGGTCAACCCATCCCATTCGCCAGCCGAAACAAAAACCCCGTTTCGTTTCTCGTTCAAAATGCTATCAATGGCGGACGACTGCCCAAACTGAGATGTGTCCTTCACATTTTGACCTTTTGAAATGTCCTTGACCTCTTTCTCCGGCCACTCTGATACCATCGTCTGAGGAGCAAAAATCAAACTGTCCTTGATGAATCTCGTGACGTCGGGGCTGTGGTCAGTTCCCCCAAGTTCGGTATGAATGACCAGTGATGACCAGTCTATCACAACACCAGGTTTCGGAACATTGGCTGGAGGTTCTGGAGTGGCTTCCTTGCAGGAAAATAATGTAGAATGGAGGTTTACGAGGGACCATAGAATGAGGAGAATGGCACCTGCTTGTATAATGACTTTCCGTATTTTCATGGGGACGACTGCCATCTTTTTGCTGGTGAACTGAAATACAGGGAAAACTGAATTAATGCAGTCACTAAAACGTCCAATAAATGCCAAATATTGAAACTCATTAAGAATCACAATTAAAGGCAAAGGCAGCTATTTATTGGCACCCTAAACTCCACTGAGACGGAATTCATATTTTATTCAGGATCGACATCCATCACGAAGGCGGATGGGGTCATAGAGGACTTTCAGTCTTCAAATAAAAAAGGAAAGAAAGAAAGAGAGAAAAAGATTTAGAAGAAAGAAAGAGTTGACGTTAGCGTTAAGGGAAAAATAACCAACGACACAATAAAAACCATGGAGTGCTTTGTGCCAAAAATTCGCCCGATATGCCATATTCCAGTATCTGTTATTCACGGCCCGATATTCAGATTCAGATACAATGCATTACAACTTTTGGAACACTTGTAAACAAATAAAATAACTACTAGTGTACTGGATGGGATTTTCTCATTGCATGAACACAGTTTATTACATGCCGCACGAACGCAAAAACCGTGCTCTACAAAATGGAAGAAAGATTCTTTTTAATAGCGGTAAAATTAATCCGACATTGGTAGCACTGGACTCTACCTGTGCATCACACGTTATAGGACGATTGTACTGCAGTGTTTACGAACCGTGTCTTAGAGCGCGTCAGTGAAACATTAACTTGATCCATTGGGATAAAAAATAACCACTGCATACCTTAGTGTAACCTGATACTGGTGCGCCTACATGTCTCCAGTGAAAGTCCATACATCACATTAAAAGACATCTATTTGTAACCAGTCGTACATGAAGGACACTGTCAAGGCTATCGTCTCCAGTGAAAGGGCATACGTCACATTAAAAGACAGCTAGCTGTAACCGGTCGTAGAACTCTGTCAAGGCTAGTTGGTCTCTAATGCCCTTTATGAAGGACCAGAAGGGGTAATCAAATAAAATCCCGCTCAAGCTTAAACTCTGCTATATAGCCGAATTTAAATAAATGAATAAATAATGTCACAGGTCACCGATTAACCATGTGGACCTGTGTAAGGTCTAAACACACTAATAAAAATGTTCCAATTAACCTACCTGTACATTCTGGGCATTAAAAACAGTTTAAACTTTAAAATAACAAAACCAAATAGCCTATTCTAATAATACTTTTTTTGCATATTGAGTACCGTGGAATTAAGCGGCAAGGCGGGGGATTTAAAAGCACACTAACCCACTTCTTGCAGAACATACCCGAGGACGAGTAATACTTTTGGTAATATTTTAATTAATTAGATAAAATCTATTAATTGGTGTTGCGCAAATAATCAGATTAACTGGCCGAACCACTCCGCCGGTCACCGATCTTGGTTCTGCCTTAACTCGCGTGGAACCGGAAAGTTAGTGCGAGAATTGGGCTCGAGGAGATGGCGGAATAAATTGAAAAATCATTGCTTAAGCGTGGGTTTTTAATATTCTCTGTCGGCCTTTCAACTTTTATACACAGTAGTAAGTGAGAAAATACTTACAGACATTAACCAAAGATAAGAGAGGGAAAAATTCATTTTCGACTTCTGTACATTGCTTTATGTTCTTTTTTTTTTTTAATAAAAAAGTGAGAAATAAAAGAGCAAACACAATGAAAGTTTAAGGAAATATTTCTTCACATAAAAGATATTTTTGTCCATTATATCATTTCAGTCAAATATGCAACTTGTTTTTATAACGCACATTTTTCTTAAACTGCCCTTAATGCTGTTTGTGGCTATGATCACGTTTGATCGACACATGGTATTCAAACGACGCTACTTCTAGAGCTTTGTGTTAAGTTACGTTTAGTTCAACATTTAATGTATATTTAATTCATAATCACATTACCACATTTCCTTTTTAGTATACCTACCTAAACTAACAGTGCAAAGCAAATTACAGTAAAATGTACGTATTTCACATAATGTGATTTGATTATACTGTCCATTTGAAAAAAAAAAACATTACATGCTTAAAAGATAAAAATAATAATAATTACTATCAATAAAAGAAAATAAAAATTGCCTGCCAACCCTGTTTGAAGAAAGTCGCTGGTCGTTATACAGGGCACGGCTAATATCCAAGCTTGAATGGCCATTAATGACCTACGTCAGTGCGAATGGGCTTTGAAATATTCATTTAATATGAAAATAGCAATTCATCAGCTGTACCCGTATATGCATAATGAGTCGAGTCTTTTTAGACGGCTGGTTTAATACATAAATGTCCATGGACTTTTTCTCATTTACCAACGTGAACACTTGTACTTGCTGCCACCGCAAACAGAATCCATTATTCATTCTCTAATTAAATACACACGTATCAAAAATACAATTGCAGCACATACCAGTATGCCTACCATTAGTATCTTGGATATAAGGGTCTATTATAAGTGTGTTTGACACGTGGGACTGTTACAGGGCTAGTATGTTAAAGTTATACATGTATAAAGATAAAGTAAAAAACTAGACCCAAAAGTCATCCGGATCTATTGGAAATGTGTGTCAAGTGCACGCCATTTTGTTTGGAGGTATCCCTCTCTTACCCCCTTGTTTAAATACTGTAAAAATGGAAACGCGAAACAACCAAGTATTTTCCTATCCGTACACATTACGGGGGAATCGTCCTCGTCAACTTGCATTTTATACTTGCCAGGTAAGTAGGCCTACTTATCAACTGCATTTTCTGCTACCACCCTTTGACAAAACGCTGGAGCCGCCAGCTCTTTGGGTTGGATCAACTGCTAAGGGGGAGATCTGCTTTTCCTGTATCGTACCATTAACTGTCTCCTATAGCCCCATTTCTCTAGGTTTCAGATCGGAAGCTAGACGGCTTCATTGTTTGCAAATTTCCAAAAACCAAAAGTTGTTGCGAGTTCGAAAGGCAGTGAAGAAGGTAGTCAACATTAAAGCTCAAGGTCGAGAAAACATCAACTATATAAATATTTTCAAGGAGAGGCACCCTGACCTATTTCCTGGCATTTTTACAATTCATCTCTTATTAAAACTAATGGCAACATCTACAGCATTACTTGATCGGAAGTCATCAACAGTGATGATATTGCACTTGTATGAGCCATAATTCTCTAAACACCAATATTGCAACATAGCGTTTATACCAGTTACTGAAGCACTGGTGGAATTCCTGATATCAACGAAAGTGATTGCTCTATCCTCTACGACTGAGGGGGTTACATGCCCATCGTTATAACAGCATGTTCCTATGCGGTTTGCAAGATGTGCCATTTCTAACAAAGTACTCGCACAGCCTTCAAACCCTAGCGCCATGCGTAGCAGTAATGGCAAAGTACTACCAAAAGTCACAAACACTGCAACAATACCAAAAGTTCTCGCCCAAACATAATCTTTGCGGGGCAGTCTTTTCTTAGTCAGACGATTAATGCTCAAGAAGCAGAACATGATCAAAATAATTATCTGTACAGCTTGGAAGCCTAACACTGCACCGATTAGGTTTTTTGTTTGATGGGTCACGACTACAGCGCTGTTAGTTAAATCATTCTTGTAACGTATCCTGTCCATTGCTAAAATTCTTGCTCTACTTTTGAAAACATCACGCGGATTTGTTTTAAACTCAAAAGTACTTTTGATATACTGCTGCTCTGTGTTGTACAGATATAGGTGAGGGAACCCGAGGGAACTAAGTTCTACCCCGTCAAAATAAATTGCAACGTTTCTCTTGGTTTTCCATATATTCCCCACTGTGTTGGTCCCCTTGAAATAACGAACTGGTAACAGGTAAGGTCCAAGGTACCGAAACAGATGTTTGCCAAGTCTCTGTAATGCAGCAGACGACATGGAACTTTTGCTGCTCCCCAAATAGAGCCAGGCTCATTTAAATGAGAAACTGTTAATATTATGAGCTCTTTGGGATTCTCTCGTGCAAAACGGGCAATTAAGGCCAACCCTTCCGAAATTTCCTTCCCCGTGATCCCGTGCCACCAGTAGAAATCACCACCTGCTTTTAATGCACAAATCCTAAGATCCAAAACGCGATATCCCGCCTGAAGCTGGGAGAAGAAATCGCCGTCATGGTTACGGACCCAGCCTATCAAAAAGCTAGGAGCGACAACTTGGGCGATCTTAGACGCCAGCAAATGTTCCACTAAGTAACTGGCATTGTGGATAGAGTACGAACCTGAGTTGTGTGTTCCAGGTAACATCAAGTCGCTTAATTTTTTCTTTGCAATCAAGGGTCCTAATCGGGTCATCCAGTTCACTTTGATGTCATCTTTATAACTGGAGTGCAAGCAAGGGGATCCTTCACGCCATCTATCTTTCTGAACACACTCCCTGTTCCCGCCACACAAAGACACGGCTCTTGTATATAGAGTTATTCTCATAACGTAAAGACATACGCAAAACAGAGATAGAACGAGAAAATGACCACAAAACCAATGTCTTATCATTATCATTCTCAACTGCAATTGCTGACCTAAGTTCAAGATTCGTTAAAATTAACGTTATTTAGTCTGCTTATCTCATGTAATTAGGCGATCATGAGCGTTCTCTATCCAATATATTCAAACCAGTCAACAGGAAAATTTTTGTTTGCTTTCAAACAGGAAAACCTTGGACCCCTCGATTTGAATTATGCCCTCATTTGATTATTACTTTTATGATTGTACAAAGACGCAGAGAAGAAACAATCAATGTGTTTTCTGACGTCTGCCAAAGGCGCACTTCCACTTGTACGGCAGAGTCATATATTTCTGGGTGGGGTACCGGAAAGTCAAAAACTCATTCACCTTGGCTGGACCTTGAACATTCCTCCCAAGGAAACGCACAGCTTTCGTCGGAAGGGTCAAGTCGACCGAGAGGAGGGTGAAAGGTTTCAGGATAAAAGTGTATGGGGGATAGTATCGGTACAGATACGTCTCAGATGTATCCTTTTTCCATCGGCCTAAATCAACATGTGCACCTTGACAAGTAATGGAACGATCCTGATCAAATGAGCATCCACGACGGGTAAGGCGCTTCGTTAGCTCCGCGATGAAGTTTCTCTCGGCTTCGTCCGTCCAAGATGGCGGAACAAGGCGACTGACGTCTCCGTCGGCGTCGTGGTTCAGAATACCCGCGTGTCGATGTGCCCCCAGGAGAGTACCAAAGTCAAGCCAATAGGTCTGGTTGAAGCGCTCGTATTCTTCTATTACGTATGTGATTGCTCTTTCTAAGGCCTTGATTTTAACATCGGTTAGGTAACAGTCCTCGTTGAAGTGCGGAACCATTTGCTGAAATATCAACACGTTTGTGAAGAAGACTACAAGAATGGTGATCCATCGAAGAGTGAATAATCTGTACCGTAAATAAGGCCTGCAAATCATACTATGATACTTGGCTCGAAGATAAAAAGAGTTCGGTCACACTGGTATTACAATCATGTAGAATTGTACATCACTTTGAGGCACTCCGTTGTCGAGAAAACGTCTGTCGTATCCAAAACAATCTTAATTTTGACACGTTGGTACGATTACCTTAGTCCTTAATTTTTCAAGCTGGAACTGACTGTACGCCTGCTCTAATCTTTGTGTCGTCAAATCTTGAATCTCCAGACTTAAATCATTGCATCATTTTGTCTTGGTGCGTCTTCCAACCAACTTTAGTATTTTACCCTTTAACATTGATCCGTGTGTACGCCAATTAGTGTACTTAATCGTTGAATCTTGATTTGTCTGGCAGCGGAGTCTTATTCTCGGATCGGTAAGCTCTGTGGCACATTAAGGTCAAGCGAACTCCACTCCAAAGGATTGCTGAAGAATTCAAAAATGTGTCTATCAGTCTGGCTGTCATTTTGAGAAACCGTTCGGCAACTTAAGTTATCTTTATAACACTACATGTTATCATCAATCACAAAGTAATTGTTCTCACTCGAAAATGAAATGAAGCATTTGGCAGGCATTACAAAGCTTTGTTTTATAGAGAACTAGAAAGGATATAACGGATTATGGCACACGTATCGGTTATGTGTTTTGAATATCCCTTTACAGTGGACGGGTACATAGCTGTACCTATATCAAAAAGAAAAAAGAAAAAAAAACAACACTTAGCAAAACTCACAATTAGGTCCGACGACCAAGAAATTCAAAGGAGCGGGTATCAAAAACCTGAGTCTAAACTTGTACCTAATACCGTACCTTCCCCCAAAAAAATTCTATTCAATATTTGGCCCATAACTAGGAGATGAATTCCATATCTTGTTGTTAAGAAGTTAACCTGTATGAAAAACAGTCTACAACAGCTAATAGAGTGCACCACGCTTTATGGTTCTGGTAAATTAGCTATTTAATCAACCAACAATGAAATTTCACAAATTTAGAGATAAACACATCTGTCTTTTCAAAATTAAATCATATATTTAAAAAAATTTGCATAAAGTGGGATGTGGAGAGTGAGTTGAGTTTATCAGCTGCTTTAGGACGCCTAGGGAAAAACTGAATCTATACTCTCCCCCCCCCCTAAGGTAAGACAGAAAGAAGATTTAGGGGTTGGGTTATCCGCTAGCAACATTATTATCAAATGTGGTAGGCCCCCCAAAATTACGTAAAATGTATCTTTATAATTTTTGTGTGATTTTTGTGATAATAATTTTTCTGTGTGTTTTGCGCATTGAAACTGCAGCAGCACCCCAAAGTGCCATCACTTATGCTACATGTTATTGTAGTGTAATTATACATGGTCCAACACCTTGGTAAGTGTCATAAATTAAATCCAACTCTTAAAAACCCATGTTTTAGCAGGGCGTGAGAGGGGAGATCCATATCAAACAGAATGCCTGCACCCTAAACCAAGTTAATAGCTGACACTACCCCCCCCCCCCAACCCACCCTCCCACAGACAACACCCTGCTCTCAGGTGATTACAATTCCCAATCACGCGACAGCATCCCCTAAGCTCCAGGGCCCGGTTGCACCAACGGGGCCTCGGATACGACCGTCGTAAACCGCAACGCCTGGCGTCCGTGCGCCAGGTTTTCTCTCCCTGTTTACGCCCGTTGCACCAAGACAAAAAAATGATCGTTTTAACTAAGCCCGAGTAACGCTCCGTTGCATCACTGCCCAACAATACGTGAATGGTATAATTGAGCAAATGAGGAGTACTCAGCTACAGTCATAATGGAATGATGACATCAATAAACACAAATTGAGCATTTCAGTGACGGAGAAATTCATAAGCTACATTATTCCTTTTTGATTTAGAAATAAAAACGTTAAGATATGTTAACTTTGCTTTTGCCTTATATATATATATATATATATATATATATATATATATATATATATATATATATATATATATATATATATAGCAATAAAATCGTAAATATATTCCGAATCAAAATATTATTATAGCATGCTAAAAAATTAAATCTTTGATTGATTAGACCTGTTGTAAATGAGAAAAACGCGTTGGAGGCAGTACGTATTCCTATTAATGGATTTGAACACCTTCACATTTGTTATTGAAACTTTTGAGTCTGAAAATAATAGAGAGCAAATTAAGGCTTCGTGAAGAACGACCCTGTCAATTTTCATGTCGATCAATAGTCCCCAAACATGTAGAGAAACATGTTTACAACGTATATAATGAAAAAAATTTAACCTACTTGTTGTGAAAGACGTCTGTCAATCACCGTTTACCACAAACTTTTGAAATAAAGATGAGCAACAGGTGAGACGCGTTAAATAGGCTATGTGTACGGACATGGCCACATCCCACTACAGTGGTCTCGGTGATCGAGTGACAAAGCGACTTCATTTCCATACGTTGAATAGGCGAGGAAGTGAATAAATGAGGTAATCACCGGCGTAAGTGGTGCAATGGAGTCTCACACAGAACAATTTTGTCCAACATGGACACTCCGCCTTAAAGGCAGCTAGTCTGTATTTTATACAGTCTTTGTTCCGAACCTTTGTCAAGCTCGGCTGACCGCCAACCAGCTAGGTCGCTTTGGTTTAGGGGCCGTTCATATTGAGTCAGTGCGAACTATCTAGTATTCCAACGTACTCGTATAATCACCAGCTTTTATGTTTTTTTTTTTTTCAATGCCAGGAGGAGGCGTGTTAATCTGTTAAACTGATTGCATTCAGCGAGAGTCTCCCCGAGGTTGGATCGATCTACGTAGATCGATTGTTACATTGGGAATGAGCCCTAATTCGCTGAGCTATATTGTATGTATAGGGGTTCGCCTTTTCATTGGATTGAGTGGTGACCCACACATTTTGCGCACAGGGTAATTGTTTCTGCTTTATATTATACTGGGTATATACATACACATGTAGTGTACGCGTTGACGGTATCTGGACATGCTGGACAATTCATGTCACCCGTACAAACCTCAGACAGGCGATGCCCATATGGTTATCGTCTCTGCTAGGTCGAATGGAACTGATTCTAAAAGCACATTGTCATATGGCTGCTAGACTCAATCCGTTCTCGCACTAATAACCGCAATCCAAACCCAGGTTTTCTGTCAAACCAAACTCGTTTTGTTGTAAACAGATAATTAATGCACTGTCATCTGAGTTTTATTTGCTAGAACACCGTGATCGTCCGCGAGAGGTGTTCAATGCACCTAATACGAGAGGGTGGCCGTGACATACATGTAGATATTGAGATAAAATATTTACATTTTATCGAAAAAAAAATCCCTTAAACAGAATAAAGCGATTATCGCCACGGTCACATAACATCTCTAGGTATGTACATGTATATAGTCTTGTACCATTGCATTGTCTCTATTATTAATGTATAATTTGCCTGTTAGAACATCTGTAGTCATTCTATTACAACATCTTGATCTATTAAAATATCCATAAATAAAAAGGAGAATTAATATATGAAATTGGACCACTTGGCAAACCTTTCCTGGCAGGTTCCAAGGTACTTAACCATTTAAGGAATTTGCCAATCCCAAAATTACAACATCCATTTAATTTTATTCTCGTTGTTCTGCAGCCAGACGTCTTGGACAAAGTGAAGACTAAATACTTGAATGTGGGACCGCATCATCCCCCAACCGGGAACGCCAGATATTAAATAAGAAAGAAATTCATTGTAGTATTTTCTCACAAGACGAACAGTTTAATTCGAAATATGGCAAGTTGAATTCTAAACAATCTGCCGTCGTGTGTTCAAAATAAGTATGTGAGAGGACAAATCGAGATTAACATCACGTTGTTTCACTTTTATTTTTAGAGTGGTAACATATTATTTCATTACATTTCTTGTTTCGAATTAACCATGATATCGGTAGTAGAAGGGCTATTTTACGGGGTTAATAAGTTTTGTACACGATGTCAGGGAAAAATTGCACGTTTTGTCAAATTTATGCTTTCCCTCACAATTACTTCTGTCAATTTACCAAACAGGATGTCATTGTAAAATATTAAAACACGAGAGATGAACTCAGTTATGGGATAGAGATGAAGTCATTTATGTTGTAATTATCAATAATATAAATTTGAGTCGGAAATGACAAAGCTTAGAGACTGCAGTTAGGATAGACCCTCCAATACAATCAATTTCAGAACTACCGCACACAGGCATCAAATCTTCCAGCCATACTTTCGCCAGCGGTTCTCTTTCAGAGCAACGTCATTAACGTATACAATTCAAAGCGGGTTTTCTTTTCTGAAAAAAGTGAATCTTTCTTCATGCTTAGCTGACCTAATTTTAGAAAAGACATACAACCTTGATGACAATTTGCTTCCGGCCACAATGTTTACCATAATTCTTTACCCCACCCCCAAACTCTGAACCCCTTCGCCTAGGCCTACGAGGATGGAATGTACTGAGTCATATATCAAACACTTCCAAAAACTACATATATATACAGCATAGAGAATAGGAGTGAAACACGTCACATTCGAGATATAGGGGATGCCGCTAATACTAATGTAAAATAAAATTGAAAAAAGTGAAAATAATATGATAAACATATTTGCAGTCATATGATGGGCTACGTCAGGGTGACCAACACTTTAGACTGAGACACTGATCGACTTTTATCACTGGCAAAGCCAGTTAAATTTTTCGATAATTAAAATAGAAACGACGGTCGGGAACCACGCCATGCTGGACTAACCATTTTGCCACATGGTTGGTGACTGGTATGCAAAGTAGAAATTATGACAGATTTTGAGCAAAACTGGCCAAATTAACATGCGCTAGTCTTTAATCATACTTGATAACTAAGGCGAAAAGACAAAACATACACCAGCTTTCAGGGTGTAAAATAACATGTGATTGCCAACTTGCCGGAGATAAAGCATACATGATGATTGGTGTAAAATGTTGAACAAAAATGTGGTACAGAAATAGCACTTCGACTCCTTAGAATATCAGTGACTTACCCTGTGTTTTTTATGTCATTTTTTAATGTTTTTTTTAAATTAAATTTGAACAATGCACGCTTACCATGGTACAGATGGACACCCATAGCTATACGTATCACATATAGGCCTCTGTGCTGCAAGTACGGTGGTCGAGATAGATTAAATCGCCGTATATAACCTGTTGACACTTTTCCTGCGCACCCCCCCACCCCACCCGCTGACAGTGCCAGTACTGACATAATAAATGGATTTATTTAATTAGTCAGCTTAGCTATCACAGTTAAATAGTGTAAACGAGGACTTACAACTTAAATAAGTTGAAGATTTTCTTTTACGACATATTTGATTTACCCGTTGACAGTTTTTTCTGTTCACTCCTTGACTTGGTACATGTACATGTAGCAACTGAATTTTAAACTGAATTGCCTGTTCATTACCTCAGTCTTGACGAAGACTTGTTAGCTCCTCCTGTAAAACTACTTTCATATTTAAAATCCTTAGGTTGTTTTGTGAAATATGTGCCCCTGGCTATACGCGTCTTTATCTCGTCTGTCAAAAAAGTTGCCGGACTGGTTACTGATTGTAGATAACTTCAGCTTCTCGAATGACATCTAATTATTTCCCAAATGTATAATAAATACTTTTATGGGGTTGAGTGAGTCCATCACATACCTTTCGAATTGCAGTCCAATCGGACGTAAACGTCCACCATTCTTTATCGAGTCGACGCAATTGGATCGGACTTGGCTGACAGCAGTTGAAGTCGGTCAGCAATTGGTGTCTTTATCGGCTTGCACACGTTATGGTAAGATGGTCAAGTACAAAAAAAAAGGATAACATTTCAGCACACGTTGTTACGCTGAAAGCTTTTCTAGCCACAGGTAAATTAACCTAGTTCCACTGGGGCATAGTTGACTCTCGATCCAGGCTGGAGTTTTATTCATATGACCGTGAACTATGCACCAAAACATTTAGCTTTTTTGTTATTTTTCCAGTTGCTGGGGAAACTAGGCTGGAGGGAATCTGTGCGTGGAGAAAAGGCTCGGTCTGACAATACAGTATAGTCGCCACTATGATATCGGGCCTATATGCAAGTAAGTTGCCACAGAGCTTTAAATTGTCCTTGTTTCATTCCACAAAAAGTGAACCTTTTAGCCAAGTCAATCACGCACACCTTTTGTTTAAGGATGCGTTCACAATGAATCTATCGTACTAGGTTCTGCGCACTCACTCCACAAGGATTCTTGCTTAATGCAATCATATTGACTGATTAACAGGGGAGACCGGGGCTAGTTGGACCCCGGGGTAAGTTGGCCCCCCATCAATTTATGACAAAGTAACTATGTGGTAAAAGAATATGATCATATCATTTTGTAAAGTGACCGTATCCAATAGTGCTAAGAAAGCGTCAGCAGTGAGTCCAAATGAAATAATTAAGCATCCTAAAGTAATTTTATTAAAGAGACTTGATGGGGGGCCAACTTACCCCGGGGTTCAACTAGCCCCGGTCTCCCCTACCCCTCCTCTTGTTTCCATCTAGTATTAAGACAAGCCTTTCTGTGTTCTACACAAAGCCAGGAGGAGGCATGCTTACCTGTTAATCTGATTACATTAAGCAAAAGTCCCCTTGGAGTTAATGGGCAGTAGCTAGTATGATAGCCTCATTATGAACACACTTTATACTTGTGTACTTTTGACTTGCCCTCATATTTTTGCTGTTTTATATTACAGATCCTTCCAATATGGCAAACCATTACATATATAATGTAGATATAAGCAATGTGTGCAACACTCACAATGTAACACTGTTAAAACGTTATATAAACAGTTATGCAAATATAATATAAAATGTGTGAATGACACAAAAATGTGTGACAGGACTGAAATCTTAACTTTTTGCTGTAATGACCCTCTTTAAGTCCCGTCATCCCTTTATTCAAAGCTTGACAATTGGAAAGTAAATCTGCAAAAGGGTCCGGTTTTCATCGGACACAATGTAAAAAGACTGAGAGTTAGGAACGAATACTATTGACGGCAATCCCAGTGCACTGATTTTTACCCTTGTCGCCGAAAAGTTAATTCTGCATAGCACCTCTGCCAGATTCGTATGTCGTCACGTTGTACTGACAGCCTCATTTCAAACCATCTCGGATGATTTCCAAACCTGATAGGCTACGGACCTTGCAACCCAATAATCTGAAAAGGAACCCTGCAGTTTTTAACTCACCTGTGTCTTAAGCAAAATCACTTTTGATCGCAAGCAGTATTGATTCATGCTTATCATGTCAACGTTCTATATATCTATCATTTTCAGGATACTTATCGGAAGCTAAGACCAGCATCGCTTGGACCATCATGGACCAAAGAGACATTAGTTCCCATTATGGCATTAATTACGCAGTGAACATCTCGCAGCCTGAGCAGTCAAGCAGTTTGTCAAATTAACGTGGTAATTGCTATCTCCTCATAAATTAGAAAATAGTCAAGAAAACAACAAGGACCTACCTGTATTTGTTGCCGTAACGCACTTTTTTCAGCGCCAAATAAAACCATCAACGGCACCTGGCATCTGGATGCACAAATACTGGTAGAAGAAACAGCCAATGGATTGGCGTGGAATAGTTTGCCCACGCAACTACCTGGGTAGCCTCATCAGAGCGTTATTACTAATAACGGTAGGAACCAAGGGTGCTTTCCCAGAGATTTAGATCGATCTAAAGATTAAGATTTAGATCGACCTAACTCCCTGGGGGTTCACGCTAAATTGCAGTCAGCCGAGTGGGCACCATAGTTAATTACCCCCTTACAGCTTTTAGTAGGCGGGACAGACGCTTAAGCCGGCCAAGCTGACAGTAATCTAGTGAGACTCCCCACAGGGATAGATCGATCTAAAAATCTATGGAAATGGGGTGCAAGATATTTAAAGGTTACAGTGGTGTATTGGACATAAGTTAGTTTTCTTTTTGTCAAACAGTAATGTCTCAATCTTGGATAGTTAAAGCATTATCTCAAGTGTATTCACTTGTTCAAAAATGAATCCTCTTTTGAAACATTCCCTGTCCGGCAATGGGGCATTTTAATAAATTCACAGTAGACTTAAGTTTATATCTTCGTAACATCATTTTATATACAAGCTATCCATCTTTAAGCTCCGCTGATTCTAATAGTATATAAGTAAATGCGATTTATAGATCTATTTGTTTTGTGCTTTTTGGGGGGCAAAATAAACTGACGGTCGCCATAGTTGACCAAATCGATTAATTACAATGTGTTCAGGCGAATAAACGGCATGCCCATTCGGATAACCAGTACATAATCACGCCCACATAGCTCCAGTCTATTAGCACTCTTGACCTACATGTACCTTCATGTGATTGCCGTAATCAAATGATTTGCAATATAATTAATGACCTCCCTGTTTCAAACTCGACGATAAATATCCATAGAAAGCAATAGTGCTGTTTTATTGCGTGCATCACCACGTCTGCCCGACAAACAATTAAGTTAATTTGACCATCGGGTAATCCACTTCATTTTCATTATAAGCCTAATGTACCCGTGTATTTCTAAAACAGATAAAAACGGAAGGACCTTAGAATATCTGAAACCATATTATATGTGTATACGGCCGGTTTGCAAATATGCATTAATCTTTTATTAGTGGTATTCCATAAAAAGTGTTTATTTGAGTCAGTGACGCAGACATTTTGTTTAATGTGGGGATGATCAGTGAATTAAGATAAACGTATATTTTCAGATACTCTTTTTCTTGGTATATGGGAGTCTGGAGCAACGATGTAAGGAACCCGGAACTAATAAAAAGGACATAGCAATTAGAGAATTTCTCAGTAAAGGAGAATCTTTTCAGAGGAGATCTGGTGACATTCAACTTCCCGTCGAACACGTCAAAAATGTCACCGTTGTCACCGCGTTTTTTAGCCTGGGTAATTTTATCAAGGGGACATTGCTGCGTAGGGAGGATTTCTACCAACAGAACGCTGGGAAAATCGCCATGGTCCGGAACCCTTTAATCTTCTACACAAATTCGCCAGAAATAGCACAACAAATTACGTTCTTCCGACGCTCATATCAACCGTCTTTACAAACAGATGTTATCATAATGAATATAAATGACTCTTGGGCGTTTGGGCTTAGACCCAGAATCCAGGCGATTTTTAATCAAGACGGGTATCCTAAGTACCACCCGCAGACGATCAACGCCAATTATTCAGTGGCCATGCACGCCAAATATGAAGTTATGGCTGACGCCATCAAAAGTGGCCGCGTGCGCACAACCCACGTCTGTTGGATGGATTTTGGCATATGGAGAAACGAAGAAGGTGTAATTTATTATCTTCTTGCAGTGACATAGCGCTTAATTTTGTCTATATATTTACGACAACTGCTAAAGTGTTTTATCAAAATTTTAGAAAGACATAACTCTGAATCCATTTTATACATTTTACATCATGTGACATGCTTTTAAGGTAGCAAATGTACTGAAGATTTCCTCTTTTACAGGAGAAGGGTTTGAAGTTGGCATACCCAATGACGTCATTGACGGCCAAGTGGCTTATACCGAGATCGAGGCCAATTCAAATCCTACCCCAAGGAACATCGTGTATCTGGATATGGTGTGGGTAGTTGGGGCGTTTTTTATTGGGCGGGTCGAGGCAGTGCAGACATTTTGTACTGACTACCGGCGTGGCGTGCACTGGATGATTAAACACTGTAAGACAAACAGTGTAAAATTATTTAAGTTGACCCCCTCCCCCTACCATGAACGCGAAAATTGCAAGAATAACTATTTTGTACTCTGGCCATTACAAGTAGTGTTGCCATTTCGATATGTAATACTGACTCATTAATTGAACGTAGCAATTAGAATAGAACAATTATTATAAATGTAGGACAGGAATTAATAATATAACTTTAAGTCTGCTAGTTAGCTAAAAAATTATCATTTCTAAGTATCGTACTTGTTAAAGATCTCTGCAAAGAATTAAAAACTAAAAGAAATCTGGTACATTTACCTTTTAACGCATACTTCTTTAATTGACTGAGGTCTTTGGAGCAGTTGCATGCCGTTCCTTTTATTTTCACATCATGTAAAAGTTACTTTTAGCAGTCGTAGTAATTTCACGCTATGGTATTATTGTACTGCATAAGCAAAACCCTACCATAAAAATTAAATCCAATATACGATCTCTTCAATGAAATACCGCTTATCTGATAAAGAAAAGAAAAGTTAACAAGTTATTATTATTATTATTATTATTTTATTATTATTATTATTTTTTTGTTCATCGTGTTTTCCTTTCTTTTCAGTCCTGATGAGCACAGACCAGCAAGTGATCTACACGTTGTATAGCAAGCACTTTAAACTCAACCCCAGGGTACATATACAGACGTACAGGGCCCCGCCAGAGTTCAGTCATAGTCCTTGGTACTACCTGGCATACAGATGTCGGCGAGCTCTGCACTGAGATACATTCTTGATGAGCATGGGACATGCGTATATACATACAATAGACAGACATACCACTACAGTACCCTCTACCAGGGCGACAGACTGATTTTTCACAAAAAATTCACATATATGTCTTTAAATAAATAGTCGGTCATTTAAAAGTTCTCCGTCTTCTGGAAAATTTGCCTATAATATCTGCCAGGGGGGGTACCTCGTACCCCGTTACCGGACTTGGAACTTTAATCAGAATCCTTGGTGCTTGATTGACAGATTGAATATACATTGACGGATTTACAAAAAAAAAAAAAAAAAAAAAAATATATATATATATATATATATATATATATATATATATATATATATATTAAAAAACAATACTAAAAAACAATACTAACAGTAGTAACTGTGACTTGTGAATGACTCAAGAACGTGTGTTTCAAATAACTGACGGTATATTCATCAGACCTGTAAGTGTATGCGACACACGGGAAACCTGAAAAATATACTTATAATAACTTAACTTTTAAATAACATAACTAACAAACCAATCAAGTCAACCTGTAAGTGTATGCAACACACGTGAGAAGGCAAATGTGCCGCAAAATGAGAAAGGGCGTGTTATATAGATAAACGGACATACACGAAAACAAACGGAAAGAGACGAACACACTACATTATCACCTCATACGTATATAAAAGAAATATTTTTCAAACTTTTTATTTAATTGCCTGTTTCTTCGTATATCTTGTCAATCGTTCATCACATACGGCAGCATATTGTCTGTCTGTCTGTCTGTCTGTCATCAAATGCTCTCCACGTAAATGGCCAGGACCAGAGAAAACAAACTAATGCACAGATATTCTATTTACTCGCATGTCGAGTGTCTTCAAAATTTGCCGTCCTCAAAAATGTTTAAGGCTTTTTATGGTTATATCCCAAAATATTCTTATTTGAAACACTTTGGGAAATATTTCATTAGTTTTTGAAAGACCGTGTGTCTAGTAATCCATGTAAAAAACAAATCTCTTACATAGACACCTTATAATATCAATAAAGAAATAAAAAGATGAGCTACATTAAAAATGAAACTAAAAGCATACAAAAAAGTAAAAACAATCCAATCACGCAGATTTTCTCTTTTTTTAACCAAACAATGCTATTCTCAGTAAATTCAAGTAAACTAAAAAATGGTATCAGGAACCCCGACCCCCCCCCCCCCCCCCCGAAGAATAAATATTTATATACAAATATAAAGTAAATAGTACAAAGTTCAAATCTTTTCATCCATTTTCTTAATATTTCTTAGTGTGATGATGCAACTTGAGGATAGATAATATTAATTTTATTAAACAAATTATTTTTATGGCGTACAAGTACATAAAAATTTCAAGATAGAAGTACAGAACATTATATTAAAAATTTGATCAAAGTATATCTCCAGGTAAAGGAGGGCTAAACAGATGATCTCACAAATCCAGGTAGCCCTTTGATGAATTACCTGTTACTTTTAATTGCTTTATTACTCCCCCCTTGAATTGTCCTAGAATCCTAAAAAATTTGGTTTGGCATTTATAGGGACACTGGTCGTATATATTTTTTTTTTCGATTGTCTGGAAAGTGCTTTGAATATAGACACTGAGCCAAAGAACATAAGGTGAAAAATGACTGGACAGACATTATAACACAATCATTAGTCACAACTTGAGGGTAAATAGTGTTACAACCTATCACCGGAACTTAAAAATGATGCAAAGCACGAGCTGCTTAACAGCCTCTGTCTCAGTTCTCAATAACAATATCATGAATATATTCTTCAGTGTTTTATTTCATAAAAAGAAATTTTAGTTGAGAAATCATTAGACATTTGCCCTGCTAGGGTTATAAAGACAGAGAAACAACATGTTCACCATTTTCCTATTGTGAGCTGAGTGTCTTCAAAATTAATTCAAAATGTATGATACAAACGAAAGCCCTACAATTTAATATTTTTCACTGAGATATACAGTACAATTTAATCAACACAGTGCAATAATTTGAGAAAAATGCTTTTTCTTTCAGATAAGTGACACAAAGGTCAATCAATTTTAAAGAACCAAACTTTGACAATTATGATGATAAGCCTTTTATGGGGGGTTGGTCGTTTGTTTAGTGCCTTTCCAATCTGCGTTACGCCCAGTGTCATCATTGTAATCTAACTTGATGAATCCTTTTATAAAGATCCTTATAAGCAGACGGCACCTTTACCCTAAGTCTCTTGAAGTCTTTAGTTTTCATTTGCAATTCTCCCCACGGGTCAAACCTTTCTGCCGACTCCAAAATGGCTGCAAACTCTTCCTTCATTTTTGCTGCCTGCTTTTCTCGCTTCCTGATCCGTAAAGCACGAACTATACTTCCATTCTTTTTCCTTTTTTTTTTAAAATGGAGACCTCTTATCCTGCGTTTGCGTATTTTCTGAATTCTTTTGGCTTCCTTTCTTACAGTTGCCTCATCAGGCATGGGATCACCTTTAAAGTCGTTTTCATTTAAAGGTGGAGCCTCTTTCTCCAAGACAGACCCCATATGAGCTAAAGTAGGGAACTCGTACCAACTGGGTTGATGGTGATCTAATATACCTATTTTGTAAAACTTGTTGCTGTCCAGTGATGGCAGTTTAAATGCCGTGCTCTGTCCTAAAGTTACAGCTGTTGGCTTACTTTTGCCCTTGGCACCAAATCCTAGCTGTTGAAATGATGCTGAATAGTTCCCATTTGCAATGGTAGGTGGTTGTATTTGGACCAATGCTGAATTAGAAGAGAAAAAAAAAATAATAATAATACTTATTTCTTAAAATCGCACTACACTACCGTCTCAGTGCTGTTTACAGATAAAATTATCTAGAATAGCTAGAAACATTTTAAGCAATTAAAATCTTTGTACAGAAGTTTTAAAACATTCCTGCAAAAGGGTGGTAATATGGTTTCTGTACTTGTTTTGTGAATGTCAGCATGGATGGAGTAAAGTTAATCAAGCACTAGGTGAGAGATCAAGCACTGCAAAGATTATTGTAACAGTCATAACATTTACAAGTATATTACATAGATGTTACTTAGAAAATATTATAGATTTAATGTTGACGGTCCATTGCTACAACAACAACAAAAAAATTGTATGCAGATATATATTTACAGGGATCATCCATTTTTATTAACATTTTCAAGGGTCCACAACGTGAACCATTGGTTTGGGAGGGGGGAATGTAAATGCCCTCTGTATGCTTTTAAAAAACAATAAAAAATGAGCTAAATTGCTGTCAAAGGTCTTCATCTTAAGCTCATACTGTCTGAAGGGGGGGGGGTCTGGAAAGAGTCCACTCTTTGTAGACTTGAGAAAAGGTTGATAAAAGTGGATGACGCCCACCAGTGTGTGTAAGACAGGGTTCCCACAGATTTAGATCGATCCATCCCTGGGGGCCATGCTAAATTGCTGTCAGCTTCCGGGAGCCGAGTGTGCACAACACTTAATTACCCCCTTACAGCTTTAAGTAGGCGGGACAGACATTTAAGCGGGTTAAGCTGACAGCAATCTAGTGAGACTTCCCAGGAGGATAGATCAATCTAAATGTCTGTGGGAATGGTCTCTAATACCTCACCTTGTATGTTACTTGTTCTACAGGTCACTCTGAGGCTTTGCACACACATTCTACTGGCTGCCATCCTGTTGGTTATCCTGGCATTTAAAAAATGGAGAGAAATACATTTGGAATTCTGTGATAGTGTATCTAATTCAGTGCAAAAGAAATTGTGTAATTTTTTAGTATTCCCTCACCCAACCTAGCATAAATCACTTTTTCTTTCTTTTATTATTATAATTATTATTGTTTTGAAAAACCTGGTGATGCAGTCACTTTGATCAATGTCTCTGCTTTTTAAAGTTAACAGATTAATTTTTAGATGTTTTTACAATAAACTTTCAAGATTTTCAACTAATTAAATTACAAAAAAAAAAAATGTTCCCTTACAATAGCCTCAGCTCACAATATACTGTAGTATGAACTTTCATGGGTTCACATTACTATTTAAGGTCTCTGATATGTAACATTTGTGTTAAAACATGAAAGATAGGTGTCTATAACTGTGAAATGACAGCCAGCTAACATGTCCTCTGTGATGCTGGGGCTCTCAACTTCTTTGCTTGTAAACCTCTCACCCCCTCAAGTCATACATTGCTGAAAACCAATCTTGTCATCAACAAAGCTTTGAACAAGGTAATATTAATCTTCTCATATACCAGAGATACCACCACAGGGGCGGATCCAGAGATATTTTCTTACAGTCTTCTAAATTATCTTTGATGATCCATCCTCCATTTTTGACCGTCTTCGGACAGAAAAAATTAGATACCCATCAATGTAAACTTGAAAATCTGACCGTCTTCCGGAAGACCCATAAGACGGACTAAATTTGCCCTTGCACCATAAATCCATACAGCTGTTTAAGACAACCATGGATGGACTGCTGAGTGCATACGTCAGGAATTGTTTCCTTTCCTAAAGCAAACTTTTGAAAAATCACATGACTCAACCAACTTCCACTGCAGTTTATTTCCTGATGGGAGCATATGTTGCATCATTATTTGAACTTTTTTACGCATTTAGAAGTCCATCAATGGCTTTTTTCCATGGGTATATTGTGATTTCACAGCAGTGCATCTCACTGTTAGATGAGTAGATTAATGTTAGCATATCATGAAATTCACAGCTCTGACAACAGCAAGACTATTTGGCTTTTCAGCTGTGTGCGTAAGTAAGGTAAGTTTTGAGAGATTTGAGAGTCCCTGCATAAATTCAATAGCTGACCAACATTTTAGTTTGAGGCACCTTCCATGCGTTGGCACAAAGCGTGCGTACCAGACACCGTACGGCAAATAGAAATGCTGACGCATGAAACTTCGTGCTTCTTCTCAAATTCAATATATGATTATGAATGCACTTAAAGTTTCTGCACCACTATTTTGAGACTCAATCAGTTCTGATCTAATTTTGACGAACACATTAAATTTAACAAATGTTTGTGACACCCCCACCACCAACAGGCACACAAACAGGTAAAATAAAACTCCGCAATTCCGATTTAAAGAGACCATGGGGTGCCTGTCACGAATAGCAAAATCACGATAAGGTAAATTGTTCAACCAACATTACCTCTTATGACAATACACCTTGCATAAGAGTCTATGGTTAAGCCTTTTGTGGTGAAAATGAATCCATGCATCGACAACGTTCTGCTAAATGGAAGCAGCCATTTTGTTACCACATTCAACCCTCTTTGTCGGTTTTATAAGAAAAATAAACAAATTAAAGTGACTCATAAACTTACAAAAAGATAAAATAACACATTTATGTCATATTGTACCCTTTGAATTTGTGAAATGAATTTATAATGGAGAAATAAATTCTAACGGATTGTGCAGAATAGGGTAACCTTGATCCGGAAGTGTTCTTCTGCTCGAGGTCAGTCAGTCACAAGGCAGTGACAAGTGCAGCTCGCTGAGGACGAATAAAAATAAACCAGGATAAATTCAACAGGAAAACGAAGATGAATGCACCGCAATTGACATTAAAGGTGAGATGCATTATATAGCGAACACAGACATATTGATGTATGAATGCTAGTAAGTGTTTAGGTTAATACATTTGGGCGTATTTGCCGTATTTTGTTTTGGCCCTTTCAACCGGGTGGGTTAACCTTTTTAAAAGCGTCACAATCAGAACAAATCATAGATGTCATAACGTTACAAATTCTTGCAGATTGATTTCCGCATTATTTGACTTGGTCACTCTAGTGATTATATATACATGCATCATGCAGAAGCTGCATTTTAAAAAAGTTGATTGTGCATGAAGACCCGAAAATGTTTTATTACTGAAAATGACGTTGTCAGACTAGTAATTGTATGTGAAGGATGAATGTGACTGATGCTACCGCAGACTGGTATTTGATTGTGTCTTAGCCCCGGCTACCATATACTACTGTAGAATTCCTAATTTACTCATTTTGTTTGTCCTTGTAATATAAAGTACTGTAGGGGCAGTCTTAAAGTAAAGTCATCAAGAGGTGCAGCTCAAGGCACGGTAACTGCCCGGTAACTCTCCCCTTTAATTTTGGAGATTTTAGTTGTTAGCATCATAGAAATCTTTATCATTATTTTTGCCCATCGAGGTGGTTGAAGAAGAGTGCATTAGACTGCCCACAATTCATGAAATGCTCTCTGCATTTGCAGTGGTTTTAACTGTAAGAATGACCTAAGCAAAATACTGATATCACATGGACTGCTTGCAGTGCTTAGGACATGCTTCTGTTCATTTGCCTGTCATTTGATGCAGTGTCTTTTGAGTCAGCAAGAAAATACAGTGCCATGATGAGTAATTTTCTCCCATTCTTTTGCTAGCTAGACATAAGACCCGTTTTTACTTTATTTTTTTGTTTCAGTCTTGTGTGAATAAAATCTATCATACATGAATGTAGAGATGCATCCTTTGTGATATACTGTACAGTCACATAATATCTGAAATGACATCATAAGAGAAGAGATAAATAAAAACATCAGAAGGTTGAAGAACAACTTCATAAAATATCTAGACAACTTTTTTTTTTCAATTTAAATCAGAAATCAGATTTTTGTCAGTAACCTTGAGGGGGTGACAGGATATGATATATGGCCATATTAAACTAACACATGACCAGACAGTATATTATCCTTTCTCATGTTTTACATTATGATTTATTATGAAGTTTTCAAGTTCAAACCTTTGGTTAAAAAAAATTAACAGCTGCTTTACCATTGATGTATTAAAAAGTGATGGTTATTATGCTTTGTTAATTTCATCATTCTTTTCAAAAGGTGAGTTTCTTTTTGAAGATTTGCCATAATCACCATGTTGATTTTGTTTAAGAAATTAATAAATTAAATTAAAACTGCATCTTATCTATAAAGAACAATATCTGCAAAGATAAAGCATTAGGGGATTAAATGTTAAAAATAAACACTTTTCAAAATTTTGGCCAAATCTGATTAAAAAGAAAAAAAGCACACACAGTAAAGTGGCTAATCTGTCGTTAAATTACCTGAAGAGTGCCTAGTTACAGCTTATTATTCAAATACAAAGAAGGTTGAAGGTAAACCTAGGTACATACAGGGTATTCTATTTTACATGTTGTAATTATAATAGTTACCTTGGAGATAAATTAATTCTTCTGATAAGTGAATTTTTCTATTAGGCTTTTTTATGGCGTAGGAAGTAAAAAATGAAGTGTAAAAGGCAAGCAGACCATCATAGATGGCATCCAGCATGCTAAAGTGTCATTTAGGTGGATGACTTGGCATGATTGGAACTGCCTTTTAAGTGGAATCATCAAGTTCTGGGTTGTAGCCTGACTGTGTGGGCTATTTTAATCCCATGACATAGAGTACTGAATCCTTGGCACTGCTTTACACTGTAATAATTTATTGTTCAGGATAATCGTAACATGGTTGGACCCAGACAGCATTTTTTAAAAACAAATTTATCCAATTTTTGTCTGTAACCTCGAGGGAAGTGTCAGGATATTATATACGACCATATTAAACTAACGTATGACCAGTCAGACTATAATCCTTTGACTTTTTGACATATTATAATTTATGATTTATTATAAAGTTATCAAGTTCAGACCCTTTACTTTGAAGATATTAATCAAACAGCTGCTTTACCAAGACATATTTGAAGAATTATAGTCATTGTGTTTTGGTAATTTTTTCTTTTTTTTCATCATCTTGACATTGAACTGGTCTTGATTAATATCATGTAAAAGGTATACTGTACACTTTTGAAAAACTTTCCAAAGTTACATTTTCTCAGTAAAGATAAATGTCAATCTAAATGACTGGTCAGTGATTAAAATTTATGAATTTAAAATTAAAAATAGAATAGAACATCAAGTTCAATAATTCATGAATTTGGAGAATTTTCATAATCTTTTCTCTATGGAAAATTTGTGTTAATATGTAGATAAATATCAGAATGATGTTGAAGGGATAAGAAGATTTCTTTACTCATACAATTTTCTTTTATTTCAGGTTGTTGTGATTGTCCATTTTATCCTTACAACATGGTAAGTGGGACCTTTAATTGTATGTCATGATATATTAATAAGTTTTATATAATTGTTCTGTTCATTTTTTCTGATTTTACAAAAGTTGACAAATCCAGCATGGTTTTAGTCAAAATCCACAAATTTATCAAACCAACCAGAGGTCTGAATATCATTTATAAAAATTAATTTAGAAAATGTTTTATATTATTGTGATAAACATCTATTCAATAACATATTTCTTATTATAATGATATATACTGTTACATTAGTTTCTTTACATATTCCCATTTCATTAATTTAGACATGTTTAATTTCATCTGAGACATCATGTTTGTAGCTTATTTCTTCAATGGGACCAAAGAGTTGGGGACATGATCTCAATTTCAGGCAAATTTGGGAGAAAAATTTCTTTCTCAGTCCAAATCAAGTCATTCTGAGAACTAACTAATGCTTTTGCCATGTCAGTGAATAATTCTGTATTTATATGTGACTTGAAATGATAAACGAGATACTTGCTGACCTATCTGTTATTTCAGGGTTATCATGACAGCCACTGGACCATCTCTCAGATTTTTACCTCCGCCAAGGAGGTCAGGGGCGGATTGAGACCATCTTCTGGGTCTTCTGGAAGACGGTCAGATTTTAAAGTTTACATTGACGGGTATCTATTTTTTTTCTGTTGGACACCATCAGAAATGGAGGATGTATCAACAAAGAAAATTTGGAATACTGTCAGAAAATATCTCTGGATCTGCTCCTGAAGGAGGTTAGGTTTTCACCCCTGTTTGTTTGTTTGTCTATCTGTCATCAACATAACTCAAAAAGTTATGGACAGATTTTGATGAAATTTTCAGGAACTGTCAGAAGTGGGCCAAGGAAGAGATGATTAGTTTTTGGTGGTGATCCGGATAAATAATCAATCAATAATCAATAATAATAAAAAATTGCTGCCTTGGCGGAGGTCTCGGAGTGCTTTTCTGGTTATAATATATATGAAAGATAGCAATGGAAATTGTTGGTAATCTTGACATAATTTCTATTTCAGATAATTGATCGTGTTTCAACATATTACTTCCATTCATCCATTGACCTACATTATACATTATACATTATTTCTGTTTACAAACCATGGTCTACTTTCAGGGCCACAATGGCTGAAGACTACCTCCCTGATTCCTATTACTATATGAATATGGTAATGGGAGTTGTTGGGAGCATGGCAATAATATTTTATAAGTCTATAGAAGCCATACATTTGGTGAGTTAAGATGGCAGGAGAGTGGGGTGGCAGGCTTGCATGCAAAAAAACAAAATATATTTATTATATTTACTAAATGCATGGAACAATTGATTTGAATAATGTTAGACTGTGTTGGTGTTGGTTTTTAATAAGATTAATGGGTATTCATTTTTAAATGATGCTTGTGATTTGCAGTATTTTAGTTGCCAGATGGGTCATACAATGGACTTCATGCTTTTGCAGGAGCACATACAAGTTCTTGTATATTATATATATACCATATAATACATAATATATCTGTACAGTGTTTTTCAGGGTACTTCAGTACTTAAACCATGTTCCAGTCTCCATTTTACCCAGTATATATTATAACAGGTTGGGGGCTAACAATAGAAGAATTGTGCTGTCCATCTCAGGGTGCAGCAGCTTAGAGCATATATCAGTATACGTGTATGTGTGTGCTTAGGGCTGGTATTAATGCTTTTTGGTTATATGCTGTGTTTTTCAGGGCGCTACTAGTGGCATTCCAGTCTCCATCATATCAGTATATGAATTTGGGGCTAACATTTGTTGGGGTTCTGGCTATTATAAATACAGAGTCCATAGAGGCAGTATTATTGGTAAGGTTGGAAAATATACTCTGTAATATGTATTAATACTAGTATATTGGTTGCGCATGTCCAGGGCCTGTTTCAAAAAAAAAAAAAAAAAGAAGTCCAAAAGTTAATCGCAGTTAACCTGGACTGTTACTTACCTTAGCTCACTGATATTTACAAAGAATCTGAAAGGCTATTTATTTATTTATTTATTTATTTATTTATTTATTTTAAGTAAAGCTCACAGAGCAAAATGTAATAGTTTTTGGCAATGCCTATTACTGTCAACAATCAAAACAGCTCATTTTGATATGCTACATTTTAGTTTGAACCATATTCAGTGAAAAAATGCTCTTTAAGTCCACAGTGACTATAATTTTCTTTAGTCATTTTTAAGTAGTTGGCTGTCCAGGTTTACTAGTCTAAGCTAAGCCCAAAAACTTAAAGATCTTTTTTGAAACAGGTCCCTAGGCTGTTAAGTAATTATAGCTATAATGACTGCATGATTATACTGCCTAGTGGCATGACAATGAGGTGCTTCGAGGGTCCCAGTTATATATATATATATATATATATATATATATATATTGAATACCATATGGTAATGACTCAATCTGTCATTGAGGAAAATTTCAATGTCTATTTTGCTATTGCATTATAACTACAGTATTTACTTAGATCCAGTTTTGGTCAAGATACGTTATGACTTGGTAGTGGCAGTTCCAATTTATTCAGATAATCAAGGCTTGGAATTAAGGCAGAAGAACATTGTTTTATCAGGATTCATTAGAAAATGCACAGAAAGCCTGTCAGCCACAGTTCTAACCATAGTCTAAAAATCAATACTGTGCAGATGACATTGATTTTTGTGTTTCCACTTGCAAATGCATGCAAATCTGTCTGTGCAAACTTCCGGGAAATAGATTCCTCATCCATTTGGAATGGATATTATTTGGTGCATGCTGTGCACATCATTTTATACCAAGCATTTGTAATTTAAATTTATGTGTTTTACAAAGTTATAGATAGGGGGTTGTGATATAATATATATTTCAGTCTTCAATTGGATTGAAAAAGAATGGGTCCTTAGAATAAAGGTTTGTGCCTTTACACGCTTGGTAAATCAACAATGCTTGGTAAAGGCAGTTTCAGCTTTTGGGACCTACAGTACTGAATGAAAAAAATAACCATAAAACTGTAACATCAAATCTCAGTTAAGAATCATGAATGTGAGTTTTATGATTTTTGCCACTTTTGTTTTACAGTACTTTGTCATGAACACGTTGAGTATTCTTATGGATATCATATTCTTAGGAATATTTCAACCAGCCGCTGATAGCTTGTATGAAACACCTTTGTATAAGGGTAAGATAAGGGTACCATCGAAGATAAATGGACAGGCATGTTTCCATCAGACTGTAATAACACTGTCTCAGCTGCATGGATGATTATTTCTAACCATAGGAGGCCCGACCAACATTTTCTGTGGAATCGTGGAATTTGGCCGTTTTGTATTTCAATTCTGATGGTTCTAACAGGTTAGACATTTGGTCCCACTGTTAATGTTTAGTTGGTTTTTTTTTCATTCCTGAAACCTATGCTCATGTCAACCCACCCCCCCCCCCCCCCCCCCCCCCCCACACACACACACACCCCTTTTTTTCCCCAGTCACAATTTGATTGATGTAAGTATGAGTTTAGATCCAGACTTTCTATGGTTGGAAATCTTGTCAGAATAGCTGAAATAGTTTGGTCAATGTATCTCAAATGGAAACAGGCCTTAAAATTATGCATGCATGCTTTTTAGGTAATATGAATTTCAGTGTGGAAGTTAAGAATTACATTGGCCATATAGCTAAGCTCCATATACAGATCATATAGCTAAGCTCCAAGCTCACCATCATTTGGCACTTTGAGTGTGTGTAATTTTGGCGGAAAATTTTAATAAATGAAAAATTTTTGAATTAATTGAATATTGTTGAGGATGATAAAAAATGTTCTTGTTTCCCGTGTCCAAAAATGAAATTCAATAATTTATGGAAAAGTTGTTTTCACTTGGTGAATAATTTATTATTAATGATGATGTGAGCCTTGGTCTTCTCTGGGGCTTGCTGCACAAAAGAACCGACAAAAATTTTGGTCTAAAAATTATCATAAATTGAAATTCTTTGTGAAAGCAGTCCCAGATCAAACAAGCTTGAAATGCATGCTGGGATCTGACTATGACCCCATTCCCATAAAGGCACCATCTGTCTACAGGGATCAACCCAACTCTGCAGGGACTCCTGCTTAGTGCAATCAGCTTAATTGAATGACATGTCTCCTTTTGTTGCCAACGTGAACTGGTTGCACTCAGCAAGAATCTATGCAGAGTTGGGTCGATCCATGAAGATCTATGGTGTTTATGGGAATGTACTCTATGTTATTTCTACTATAATATATATATCCCTGTATATATATCTACTGTAATATATATCCCTGTCTCACTGGCTGATCCAGGCTTGGGCTATAGGGGAAAGGAGGCACACCAATTATATATTTATTTGTTTATTTATTTATTTTTATGAGTTTATTTTTCCCCTGCTTATAGTTTGGCAAAATAACGATAAAACCGTACACAGGGGCAATTTCAGTGTACAAATATATCAGGGCAGTTTTTGATCACCCCTTCCCCACCCCATTTCCTCTTTCTTGACAACCTGGATCAGCCAGTGTTTATGATGTACTAATCTGATGATACTGTCTTGCCTTTCTTTAGCTGATGGTGCTAATGTTGTTCAGCATACTGCAGGATATAGTGTGTCTGGGATTGTTTGAACCAGCAGCCAGGGCAGTGTATGAAAATGCTTCATATAATAGTAAGGGAGTTTAATAATAATAATAATAATAATAATAATAATAATAATTTTTTCAATTATTAATGCAGTTGTTTATATATTTGTTACTAGATGTTAACAGAAACATTTATTATATCAATAAAAAGGGATGTTGAAATACTCCCTTATATAAATGAAACTAAAACAATAGATCTGCTGCAAAAGTCCTGTACTAGTATATGTAATAGTGTACCTTTCCTGTGTTTAACACCTAGCTAACACAGTTTATTATGATAACAGTATGATCACAACTAACACAATTAAGATGGCCATTCATGATAATCACAACTAACATGTGATAATGTGCCAACAACTGGCAACGTTAAGCAACATTTAAGGCCATGTATTTTTTGGATAACAACATCAATAACCTTTTTTTATCCAGATATTTCTTTTTGGTTTAGTTCTTAACTATCATATGATCATAGAAAAGTGGAGAGTTAATTTCTGATGCCTTAAAAATGAATAAGTTAAGAATTTCAAGTCATTTGTTGTCTTTTTTTATTTTTATTTTTTTGCATATTTTGATAATTTCAATGCATGAAAAAGAGGACTAGTTTCAACAATCTGGTTGATGTTTACAACATTTTGCTATAACATGCAATGCGGCTGTATATATACTAAAATAATATCTAGATAGAGAATTAAAATAAAGATGAGACAAGAATCTTTGAGTAAGTGAAATGATGATCATGAAATGAATAATTTTGATATAAACATTTCAGTTAATAATTTCAGATTGGACAATGAAGAACACATACAGGTTTTCCCTGGGGTATCCTTTAAAAGTCGGAGAATAAAATAATTTAGGGAACTGATGTTGTTGAATTAAATTATCTGTTGCAGCTCCATCATGATATCTTGTGTAACATGGGTTGACACTGACTTTGATATTTGAACTTTTGTTTGATAATATTTGAGTTGAAAAAATATGCATACACTATTGTAGTGGTCTTAAGGTTTTCTACATATGACTTTTCATGGATACGACTCATGTAGTTACGAACACTGTATTAAATTATCAAATGGATTTTAATTTTAATTTCAGAGAGGAAAGTATTCCAGGAAGGTTTATTTATTTAATTTTTTTTCTTGGGGGGGGGGGAGTGCTCCTCTTTTGAGCTTGAGCTGCTTGGATCTTGAATTTACAGGATATATTTTATGTCAAAGTCCACATTCATCTCTGAAATGAAAAGAAAAGTTATGCTATATTTTACATTACTATCATTATTATTTTTTTGATAAAATAAGAAAAAAAAATTCACCTTAACATCCCCACAGTATGACCATTCTGAACCTGTTAATTAAGCCTTTCACCTGCTTCATGCTGTACAGGGTGTACCAGGAGAGGGGGGGCAGCATGGGGGACCTGAACATCCCCGGCCTGGATGCTGCCAACTTCCCAGGATTTGGAGGTAAGGAGGGAGGAAGGAAGGGGGAGAGAGAGAGAGAGTTTGTGTGTGTGAGGATGTTTGTGTCACAGAGAAAGACAGAGACATTGTGTTTCTATTTTTGTTGTGTACATGTAGATTTATATTTTAAACCTTTAAGTTTTAATTTTAACCTTGGGCACTGAAATTAAACTATTAAACTTACTGGTGGGAAATGGATATTTAAAATGCGTAGTATATGCATTTAAAAATTCAGCTGACCTGGCTACCCAGTTCATTTTTGTTAGATTATAATGATATAAACTACTTATACAATTAGTAATACATAAAACTCAATAACACGTCTCTTATTCTATTAAATAAAAAAGCACACATTTGATTTCAGGCCAAAAGGGACCATACGAGAACATTGACCAACCAGTGCCAAGTAATAATGTAGAAACGGCCTCTCCTCATCACTCAATAGAAAAGCCACAAGACCCACCAGGCTATTAAGTAGCTGCGAGTACCAACATTGAACGCATTTCGTTTAATAGTTTGTAGTAAGATGAAACATAAGGGAAGATGGTAACCAAAGTGTAATGTTCTTTAAAGTTTGTAACATACAACTTTTGAGCACCAAGGTAGTCTTGAGACTGTTGAAGAGGTTGAGAACTTTGACGAGGTTACAAAAATAAAAACTTTAAGAAAGAAACTGAAAGAGACAACATCATGGTAAGGATTAAGGAGGCAGTAAACACGTTTTGATCGTTTCCGGACAAAGGGGAGGAGGATGGTAACTATATATCTCTGTGAGCTGTTTTTATATCACTGAATATTTACTGAAAATTAGTTATCTAAAGAAGATATTTGGAATTAGCATTCTGCTTTGTTTTTTGAAAGACAAATGGTCCTTATATATGACTGCAGTCTTAATATATTCATCTGTTTGTCTCTTTGATATGTAAAGACTATTATTTTATTATTACAATATTTTATGTAGAAAAAAAAATATGTACATGTACTATACATTTCTTAACTCATATACTGTATGGGACTGGACTGGTTTAATAATCAATTCTTGAGCTAACAGGTATTTAGTTGACAAAGCATTTTACGTAATTTCCATTCTTCCAGAAAATGGGCATTGCTTTAAAAAAATATTCTTTTGTATTATTTCATTTTCAAACCAACTTTCAGGCAGGTGAAATTTCTTTAATTTTTTAATTAACAAGAAAACTGTTGGCCAAGATTTATTAAAATTATCGTAATTCTGGATAGATAGCCAAATTACTTGATGATATTGAATTTCATGATATTTGCTCAGACTCTCTTATGATATCAGATACCTGCTATTATTCATGTTCTGTAAACGCTGCTTAATTTTACTTACTACTACTAGGTACAAAATATGACTTAATATGTGACTAACAAAAATTTTGTGTAGGTTTTCATGGTTTTCAGGGGTCAGAAGCTACATTCAAGCTTGCACAGCTGCTATTTTGCCACCGAATTCTCCTAAAATGTTCATCAGACATCTTTATACAGGGATGAGATTTTTCTGACCATTAGCAGATTTCCGCCTTTTTTGAAGTCAAAATACCATTGGCCTAGGTGGCCCCTGGACCCCATGTCATTTTTATTATAATGATCATTATTTTTGTTTATTTTATTTATTTATTTATTTATTTATTATTATTATTATTATTATTATTATTTTGAAAATGGTCCCATTGTAAACAAGTATTTTCTAGCAGCATTCCATTATAATAAATTGTGCAATCATTTGTCACATCTAACACAATTGTGGAGCAGACGACAGCTACTCTGTAAATTTGAACAACGTTAAGTATCTATTTTTCTAAAACAAAACATGCCTTTTTGGTAATAACAAATGAAGATTTTTGGTGAAAGGTGTTTAGAGTGATTGATGTACAAATTACAGACCAAGTTATTGTAAGCTTCACTTGCTTAAATTTTGCAAGGCCTAGTCAAATTCAAATTAAAATTTTTCTTTTGTTGTAAAAAATCGTTCACTTTCCCACTGATTCAATTAAAAAATGTTGATATTATCATACAAGAGATAACTTTTTCATGCATGATTTGCTCATAATGTTTTTATAATATATACTTACAAATTGGTCATTTTGCAAAAGGCAATGTAGAATTATATTCTCTACATTTCAGCAAAGGTTTCAGTGTTCTTGGTAAAGGGTGTATTATATGTTATTATTTATTGATAACAAGCTTTGTATTGTAAACATGTCAGACATTGTTATTATCTTGAAGATAGAGGGCAGTATTCAACAAGAATAAAACCATACAAATGACTGATTATAGGATTCATGTCAGTTTGGTATGTTGTGCATTATACATTGTGGTGTTTTTTAAACACTAGATAATAAAGGGGGAGATCTTCATCACTTATGTTAGTAGAGAGAACTTTTTGCTGTATATCCCTGAATTATTCTGCAAATAGAATTATGTGCAAATAGTTCAACCTGAACTCCAAGACTCAGATGCCAGCTTCTTCGTTAGGTGTCATTTTCACCTGAGCAATATATGCTAGAACACCCAAAGTGTCAGCAAGAGATGTTCAAGGCATATATAGTGAGAGGGTGGCAGTATATCATTTGACATACATACCAGGTGAATTTTCCTGCATTTCACCAAAAATCAACCCTAAAACCAAATAAAGTGTACACATTACTACAATGCCTCAGAATCATCCCCTGCGAAAATGTCTCATTTAACGTTCAATTATGTCAAGTTTCTTAATCTATTTAGAACATTTTGTGTATTTTTCTTGCAGTTCTAATGTTGTTCTGTAATGAATGTAACAGTTTAAGAACTGTTTTTGGGGAAGTCCTTCAGAATGTCCTAGAACAGATTAAGTACATTTTTCATTAAAAGAGAAAAATATGTTTTAGGGCAGATTGAGAACTGTAAGTTAGCATTAAATGAGAAAGTTTCACAGGGGATAACATATCTAGGACTGGTATGTAGCGAAGAGAAAGAACCTGGCATGTATGAAAATGAAGCAGCTGACCAGTGTTGTTTCTGGAACGCTGGCAAAAAAGTTTCTTAGGTTATTTTAATCGTGAAGAAATTGAAGTAACTGTGGAAACATATTATTAGAACATTTGTTTATATTGAAAAATAATGCAAGGGTGTGGAAATAAAGAATTTTTCATTCAACCTATTGTCAACTTCACCATGCTTACAATTTAATTTCATTAATTTGGAAAAAAAAAAAAAAATATATATATATATATAGAGAGAGAGAGAGAGAGACAGAGAGAGAGAAAGGGGTTTAAATTAATTGTGATGATTCGTTGAAGTAACATAATAGTCTTATAGAAGAAAGTGACAAGTTCATCTGTCTGAAGTCGAGGTGAAAGGGAAAATGTGGGGTTGATACTCAAATAACCAAGTTTCTTTAGAGTAGAAAGAGCAGCATCCACACACAGCTGGTGTAAAGTAGGAATGCAGCAGGTGCTTCTAAACAGATGATTGAATTAATTAGGTCAGCTTTTTTAGGTCCACACATCATTACTCCCCAGAAGAAAATCATTATTTTGCCTGCATCGATACTCGCCCACACTATTACTCCCCTTCATCCATTTTTTTAATGACAATTTCTTAGAAACATTCATCACTTTCGGGTCCTAGTACCTTCATTAACATTCATGAAGAATTACGCTTGATATGTTCCCTTTATTACCAGTGGGCGGTACTGATGCAGGAAGTTATGGTGCAGAGGAGTAATGACATGGGGAAGTGACAACAAACTGCACTCAATTTTTAAAGAATAATAGAGTAAATAAGCTCAGCACATAGGTTTTTTCACTTTTTATTTGATGGAAAAATCTACATACCTAATAATAACACTACATAAGGGTAACAGACAATGTATCTTAATTAAAAATGTTAAATCAAATTTGTTCATACAGCCATTTTTACTACTCGAAAGTGTGACTGCACTGCAGCACTTCTTGAGTGCCGTTTCAAAAACAGCCTTATACATGTCATAGTCCAGTGATGAAGTAAAAGTACATATTACCTGAACATTTAAAATAACTGTTTTAACTGAACAGCAATTTGGTTATCATTTCACCAATGGCACAGTCTGAAGATGGGTGACAGTGTTTTTCATTCTTATAATAAAACAACTGAGTCAACTGAAAAAACACATAAAATAGTAAATGTTGTTTACAAGTAGTTCACAAACATTAATTAAGAGCAATAAAACATTTAAAAAAGTGCCAATATTAATGGATCAAGTTTTCTTGAAGAGAAAACTACCCTTAAAGAGTATTTAACTCTTGAGGTTTTTTGTTTTACAGGGGATGAAGCAGGCTCTAATAGGACGATAGCAGTCTTAGTATTATGCCTTTAACCAACTGCTCCATGGATTCCAGAAAAAGAAAAAAAATTGGCTTAATGATTGAATTGCAACATGTATAGCTAAAATGTCAAACTTGTGAGTGTTCAGAATTTTTTTTTGACAGAAACTGCCCAATTCTGGACTCGTGCATTTTGAAAACTTTTTTGTACGCTACAATAAATAATTTCTAAAATGCACGTAAGTGAGAAACAAAGATGCTGCAATGCAGGGTAACAGGTCACTCACTTGTTTCTAAAACTGACCACCTTGTCAAATCCTAACAAAGAAATCTACTTTTAATAAGATCAAAATCTCAAGTTTCAGGAAATGATGGAGAAATGATTAAGCACAAATCTTGTCAGTAGGATTTATAACATAAATAATCAAAATATTGCACATTCATTAAAATAAAACATAATAAAATGGCTTTGCTTAACAGAAATTATTTGCCATGATGTCAGTGGCTACGGGGTTGCACTTTTATCTTTACATCAAATTACATCTTTCCCAATTATCATACAAACTTCATTTTAAAAGTCCCGTTTCTCAATCGTATTAAATGACATTTAAACAAATCATGACCTACATGCACTTAAAATGAACTAAATAAGTGTTTCAACTTGATGCACATTTTAAAATGTAGGTCACAGTGACCTGAAAAGGGTTGAATCCTTTGTGTATCCTCTGTTATCTGGAGCAATAATGACTGTGTGCTGTTCATCAAATGAGATCATGGTGTGCTGGATAATGGAACTGGGTCAAGGTCACAGGGGTCAACTTATTTCAACGAGATCAAATTGGGGGTACAGGCAAATCCAGATTGTAAAACATGGGATGAAAAATACAAGTGCTGCGTTATTTCACTATTCACCTGCAAAACACAGATAATGCAACCTGGCTATTTGCTACATTTTCTGCTCTCTAGCCAAAATAAATTAATATTTCCACATGCTATCCTTAGTCCAGATTTCAACAATGACCAGCAAAAAAAGGTTGTTATAATCATATTGGCTAAGGTTCAAAATAATCTACATAATAAAGTAAAATGGAAGGTACTATAATGAAACATGCCACAATGACATACTTTTTAAGTAGGTTGAAAAGATATACCCAATGGTGATGTTTGTACACTTATAAGTTACAATAAGCTAAACCAAAATTAGGTCACCACTTTCTTGAAAAGTAGGTCAAATATGAACGTCACATTAACATAAGTACGTCAAATTACCACACTCAACAAGATTAATTTCACTTATTCTTGTTATCAAGCCAACTGAAACTCACTGTGGCTATTTTACAGCAAAATCCATGCATATGGAGGATACTGAAATTAACATAAGATGACATACATTTATCATGTAATGTGTAACCACCCCAAAGATTTAGGTAAATGAGTTTTTCACCTTTTTCACAAACCTGCACCTCATCTTAAAAAATTGAAAATGCTCCCTGGTGTCTCTTTGACCCACACATTCCGTAATACAGTGCTAACAACACTAAGCCTTTAACACCTTGTCACAATAATCAAATACTATACTGATCATACTGCTATGAAATGTAACAATAGATATCCACTTGAGGTGGGTTAAAATCGATTCAATTCACATACCACTAACATCTATATGTAAGAGAAAAAAGTTGCAGTAATAAAACCTTTCATCCGAGTACATGTTGTTTTAAATACAGCATTATCTATGAGATTTTGCTCTATTTTAAGAGGCGAATTTAGCACTTTGCGAGGCTTTTGTTGTACCTGATTCTTCTCTTCAATTCAGAATGACACTCATTATCATCAAACTTCTCTTACCAACAGAATGTCATCTTTATTAGTGTGGTTGCTGTAAAAAGACCTTCAAAACTTTATCCTTCAAAATAATGGGGTTTCCCAAGCAACTATTTTAACTTGTCTCATTCTAGGGTCATTGGTCGAGTCCCTTAATGATGCTTACTTTCATGAGGTATGTAACGGTCATTTTATATGGTCATTTAATGGTTTAACTGGACGCTGATACACATGACTAGCCACTTCCCTACAGTGTTTATCTCATTCAACATGGGAAATGAATAGAAGTAAAGGATTCCACTCAGCTGGTGACTTTACCACAAGGGGATCTCAGACATGACGAGCTCAACTTCTGTTTTTTTTTCTCCCCATGGAGGGGGGCAGAGTTGAACATACCCAAAATGAAACATCTGTGTCATACTCATGGCTAGCCAGTGGAGGCTAGACTCCCGCCGCAAGTGCAAAAATATTTCCAATTGAAAAAATAATTAAAAAACGAATTAAAAAGAGATACTGATGTGCACAAAAATGAGGGAGTTGTACACGAAAATATTGAAAAATTCCATTAAAAAACTTCCAGGCTGCTGCACTGTGGGCAGAGACATATCCTTGGAGACATTCCTGTTGATACAAAAACCCTGTAGTAAAAACATACCAAATGCCATGTGATGATCATTGCAGTTTTGCAAGCACCTGCGTAGTATTTCCTCACACCTGTTATACATCCATGCATACCTGTCTTCATATTGCAGCTTTGCTTTTATTTTCTCCATCAAACAGTTTCATATTTCTAATCAACACTATATATCCCCAAATTTGTTCCTGAACACTCAGCTTGGTCTTAGTTTATCCTTGGCCTATTCTCCATTAATCCCGAACTTTTCTCCATTCATCCCCAAATTTCTCCCCCATATATCCATAAATCCTCAACTTTTTCACCATAAAAAGATAATAAAAGCCCTGGACAAAGACATCAGTTCCATTTTGTCCTGGCCACCCAGTACAGGCTAGCAGATTGCGACACAGCGGTCCTCATTGATAGAGAAGATATTGCTTGAGTGGGGTCGGAAGGGGCAGTTTTTCGATTTCTGGAAGTCTATTTTTTCCCAGTTGTTGTCGTATTACTCTGCGGCAAATGTCCATCAAGGGCAGCGGCTCTGCTGTAAAAAAAAATCCAAAAATTGAAAAATTAAGAGGGTATTATTTTTCATTTTTAAGGCATGAATGTTTTGAAAAAGATTCAAAAATGAAATGAAAAATCAGATAAGCTCATATCATAACATGGAAAAAGTATTCAGTTGTAGAAAGAGATTATCACAGTGTATCATTGCTGTAAGTGCCTAAAAATAGCCTCAAACATACTAAGTAACAATTGAATTTGCTCCAAACCAAGAGGTTTTTCAAGTCATTTAACATATAGACTTGCCACCATCGTAAAAATGAACTTCAAACGGATAGCAAATACTCAAATGAAACATTTTTCTCATCTGACATGAAGTAACGTTTCACTTCATAACTCCTATAGAACAAGAATTTCCTTGCAAAAACTCAAAATTTTCACCCATATTATAATAAATACACAACAGTATTAGTCACTGACTAATGACTTGTCAAATTCCTGTTGCTGGCAAGAAATGCTTAAAAGTTCCCAGGTTTGAATACTTACGATCTAGCCCATTAATGTATCGATGTGTAATTTCACAGTGTCCCCACACAGCACTGACAATAGGATAAAGCTTCTTTCCTTTTAAACCACGAAATGCCACTCCAAGGTATTGGCCATTGACAATAAAACTCATCGTTCCCTCGTCCATGTCCAACACCACATAGAAAGCGTCTGGAACAGTGAATGTTTCGTCTGAGTTATAAATATTTGGATATGTTACGCTGGGATTATTCTTTACGTCGTGATAGAGTTTGTTTCTCGTGAGGTCCCATCCCCAAGATTCGCAGTTGCTCCCGACAAGTGACTGATAACCAACACAGTGTAATGGAGCATCGGCCGTGGCTACGCCTACTACTGCATGTGTGCCACGTTGTCGTGCACTCCATACCACCTCCCACACATGAAGCCCGCGGGTGTAACCCACGCGACCACGTATACAGTCCGTGCTTTGAGCGACGGGGTGCCGATGGAATGTCAACTTGTCATCATCTTTGACAAATATGTTTAATGATCTATCGTCCGGATTCCACGCCTGTTGGTTTTGGACTTCAAGCGGCGCAGGAGGCATGTCCAGTAGAACATCCAATCGACTGGGCTTTTGGAAGTCAGGGTTATAAGCAATCTCATATGGAATTCTATAGGAGGGCTCACGCCCGTTTTGCTTAACGCCCCCAGAAACCTTCTGGCCCATGTTCATTGGTCTGGCGTCGGGATACGGCATCCAATCCACGATGAGGCCGTTAAAAAGGCAAAACTTGACCAACGAAAAGTTTTGGTTGTGAAACAGAAGGGTGTTATGCAGCACATGCAAACGCTCTGTTTTTCAATGTGAAGATGGTGGTCCAGTATCACCTCTTAAAAAATCACCCTTCTTTACTAAATGTTAAAATCTTTCAAATCCTGTTCTGTAAAAATTACCACCCTACAGAACTTTGTATCACTACAGAGGAATGCCAGTGCCTAGAGTTATGTGGTAGATTATTTCCCTTTTTTTTCTTATGAGTAACTCTTTTGCTGCTTTCTCTGGTCTGGCAAGAATGACAAAAGAGCAAAATGAGTTGCAGGAGGATTTTTTTTTTCCTCTTTAAATGATAAAATCAAGCTGAATTGAGTTCCTGCCACTGCCTTTTTGAGTGAGGACTGCCCTATAGAACGCAGCTATTATCCTATGTGGTGGCTCCCTCTAAGCTGGTTCAATGGACAGCAAAAATTCTCCTTAAATGTTTCCTTTCTAATCTGAAAAGAGAAAGTGATATACTCAAGTTTTTCAGATTGTACAATCAGTCAAAAAAAGTGTTATTTCACCAATGCCTGAATCTATACTGAGGAAACGACCACTTTTCTCACTTTTTAAATAAATTCTTTGCCTTTTTTCATCAATTAATTCATAATTAATACAAACATAAAAGCATGTTTTTCCATGTTTATATTGGTATACAAATATAAATCCATACCGTTATTGTGGTGAGGGAGCATATTTTCAATTTTCAATCAAATTACAGGATTAAATAGTCTTCCTTCCATATAGGCATGCCATATTTAGGTCAGGGCCTAACTAGCACTTGGCTCTGAGACTGTAGGAAGGCCTTTAGAACTGTCACAGCACTGCTACTGAGGCAGTCTCATTTCATAACAATATAGCCTGCCACTCAGACATATTCAGACATTATGATGAACGTTAAATCCGTCCTATTCACCAGATTTAATCCACAGATTTTATCCATCTACAATGTAATCATAGCTGATACAGCAGGAATTCTTAGGCTAGAACAAAGACACTGAGCCTANTATCGATCTAAAACCTATGGGAACAGAGCCATATTCAGACATTATGATGAACGTTAAGCCTGTCCTATTCACCAGATTTAATCCACAGATTTTATCCATCTACAATGTAATCATAGCAGATTCAGCAGGCATTATCAGGCTAGAACAAAGACTGCATTCCCACAGATTTTTAGATCGATCTATCCCCGTGGGGAATCTCACTAGATTGCTGTCATCTTAGCTGGCTCAAATGTCTGTCCCGCCTATTTAAACTGTTAGGGGTAATTATCTTTACCCCTAGCTGATTCTGGAGGTGTGACAGACACTTAAGCCTCTTGAGCTGATAGCAATTTAGCGTGAACCCCCAGGGAGTTAGGTCGATCCAGATGGATCAATCTAATTATGGGAACCCAGTCTTTCACTCAGCTGAGACTGTAGGAAGGGTTAGAACTGTCACAACACTGCCAGAAAGGCAGTCTCATTTCATAACAATATAGCTACTCAGACATATTAAGGCATTAGGATGAATGTTAAATCCGTCCTATTCACCAGATTTAATCCACAGATTTTATCCATCTACAATGTAATCATAGCTGATACAGCAGGAATTCTTCGGCTAGAACAAAGACACTGAGCCTATTACTCCGCAGAAACCATTATTATCCATGAATGTCGTTGTGATATGGCCTAAAATAACTTCAGCCCTTGTCTCTTGTATAATACACGGAAAACAAGGATCTTGCTTAGCTGCTTGTTTGACCTTTTCAACAGGGACAGATGGTGTGCTTGTGCTTCAGTCGACAAACTCATTATTTCTTATTTTGAAATCCCAGGCTGATATTTTCTCAAATTTCAAGCCAAGGGAATGTCATTTCAATTATATTACAACTGAAATATCCAATGTGAGGTGTATGAGCAACCACCTGATCACTGTACTCCTTTATATTTTATTTACGTAAATATAAATTGTTATACAACTGAAATCTGTATGTGCATGGCAAATCATATATAATATAAAAACAGACTGCAAATGCACTATTATTTGAACATGCACCAAGTGCTCCATAAATTTATTTAATTATCTTTCAAGTTGCGATCTCCACATGACACATCATACAACAAATTAACGCATATCTTCAGGGCCACCTTTAGGGGCTATCAAAATGAGTTAGGTTACGTACAATAGCAACTGTGCACCAATTGTATGGGGACTCTTGCTGAATGTAATCAGACAAACAGACTAACAAGCCTCCTTTTGTTTCCAATGAACTCTCATTATCACCAGTTTTTCTATATTTTAATAAAAGCCAGGAGATGTTTTGGTCTCTTGATGTGACTGCACTCAGCGAGAGTCCCTGTAGAGTTAATGCATACTAGGCCAGCTACTGCAATCAAACTCATTCTTAACAGCCCCTTATTTAATTATCTCTTTAGTCTCATGATATCACATACCACAGATTTACACGTCTTCAGGCCACATATATATATACGAAGGCATTCAATGCATTAAGTTTGTATGTAAACCACAACAGGTGGAGAATTCTCTCCACCCACTGCTGGCTATAAGTTGGATGCACACCTGGAAAAATTGCTAGCTACACCTGAGAAAGAGAGCAATTAAGGTCACTCAAGGTTGTGTTACTGGAAAATTATATACATTCCTGATGTTGCTGTTGTTGTTCACTTCTGAAGGATCCTCATTTGCCAAAATTCCCTCCCACTTCCTGACCCAAATATCTGACCTTATTCTGGATACAGGTAATACCAGCTTTCTTGAATTGCACAACCTCTGTTTGTATGTCTGACTCATTTGTTAGCTACATTCTATCCTTTATTTTTCTTTTATTTCACCTCTACCAAGGATGTTATATTTTTGTCAATGTGGTTGGTTTGTGGGTTAGTTTTTTCTTAGCAGCATAAGGACAGTTTTTGACGAATGTTCGGGAAAGGATCAAAATGTCTGTAATGAGAATTAATCCTTATAGTGGATCTTGTTTGAAATGGAGACACCAATGGGACTTCACATCAGTTTACCAAAAGAAGGCCTTGCAATCAGGGCTCAGTATCTCGAAAGCATCATGAATTGTGACCGAACTCGAGCACGGAAATTTGCCTCTATTCTATAACTCGGGATTTACTTGCCCCATTGAAATGAAAGGTGATATCACTGTCACAATTCGCGATGCTTTCGAGTTACGGAGCCCAGGACATAGCAACAAAATGCCAGCAGGGTTTGACATTAAGGGTGGCCCACTGGCCCTGGGCCACTGAAAACCAACCTAGGGCCATTGAATCGCTGGGGTCACTGGCCCAAAGAGCAAGTAAAATGTCAGGTGTCAAATCGTCCTTGCAATATTTACAGATATCGCGGGCCAGTATCGAAAAAAAGTTAGTGTCAAGCCCTGGCCAGGATCTTTGTTTCAAACCAAACATTATTTCAATTAAGCATTTTTGCTTGTTACAGCTAAAATAATGCATTAGCAGAGTCTGCAGTGTCTATGTACACATTTAACTTACGTATTAAATACTGAACACCTGCCTTGGTTCAATTTTGTTTACCACCAAATTAACCAAAACAACTTTGCTTTTTAACCTCCAAATTATGGAACCGAATACATCTTTACCTCTAGAGACTAAATAACATAACACAGAGAGGGGGTATCAGCAATAGTACTGGTATTTGTAGACCAAACTGCCCTTGTGAACGAAATGTTATGGATATCATAGCAAAGGGCTTACTAAGATGCAATCATAGATAAAATATTCAATCACAGGTTTAGACCAAAAAAATCTTTTTTTTTTCAACTAACATATTACATCTGATAAATGCTCATCAAATAATGTTTTATTTTAGGAGCGTATGTAAATTTCTATATATTTAACCACATGTGAACAAAGAAAACATCAAGAATACTAAATTTTGATAATAATACCGCACAGATAATGACTCAACAACAAAGAAAACACATGTACATCCAGGTGAATGTTCCATACCATAACCACATCCATAAATAATAAAGTACAGCTTATAAATAAACTTTAAAAGACGAGTTATTCTAACTAATATTGTTGGATCAATATATTCAAAAGAAAATTCTGTTAACTTTTTACTCAAGAAATCTTAACTGTGCTCTCTCACTCTCTCTCTCTCTCTCTCTCTCTCTCTCACACACACACACACACACACACACACACACACACACACACACTATCTCCCTCTTATACAAACCCTCTCCCTTTCTTTCTCTCTCTCTCTCTCAATAATGTTCACTCTCAATGTTTCTCTATCTTAACCCTTACCTCAAAGAGGCAGACCTGTGCCCTAATTTAAGACAATACTTGATATCTCCACAATGGCCCTTTTATGATCTTAATCACATCAAGCATGTCAACTGACTGTGTAATCATAATTCACCCAAGGACAATGCTTTCAAAAGCCCGCTTATTTAACATGAGATGATGCTGGATGAATAATACAGTAAATCAGTTAATACCATGATGACTTTTCCTACAGATTTTCCTGATATAGTCTTAATTATAGACACACACTTGACATGTGCTGAGGAGAGTAGTGACAAGACATTTTATATGTTCTAAAAACACATCATAAATATCAAATCAGATGTTAATTGAAAGTTCATTTTCACCTAGACCAAAGCAATAAAATCCAGGCTTAAGTGTTAATGGGAATGTAAAAACATGTATCAAGGGGGGTCAAATAATGATTATCATCAGGTCCAGATGTTAACAGCTGTCACTGATTTCTGATGCTGTCATTTAATATGTGGAAAAGCAGCATATAGTATGATATTTTAATCTTAACAAAGAAGAATCTCCGGCCAGCCCAAATTATTACAGAAACCATATGGAATTATCAAGGTCTGCACTTATAATACCTGAACCACAATCACATCTCTTGTTTGTTCTTCACTAGTACATTACAAGAACAAAGCAATTTCCTCACACATTGACAGTAACCCGAATTTTAACACCTACCACACATCAAGTTACAAACAACCAAACTGAGTATTGTCCGAGTTCACGGTGATGGTTAGAAATGACGCTGACTAACAGCTGTGCCGAGTTAAAGTGGGTCTTGAACAAATAGTGCAACCTCGCGTTCCCTTTGTTCGGACACGGCCGAAACAGTGACCTAGTTAATAATGCCATTAATGGGCAGATTTCCCTGTATTTAACACGAACTTTCTTCTACAAGTACTCAAAGTAGTGAAACTGAGAGTTCAATTCAAATAAGCTGAGGAGTTTGGGACCTAGCTCTACGAATCCACGAGGGTTTTGCTAGCGAATTTATCTCTCATTTCTTTGTATCTGTCTGTGACCCCATTTGCTACCAAAATAACACGGAGACGAGTCACAGATGTTGATCTGATCCAGGCGATTCTTACCTCTAAGCTGTGTAAAATCCCTCCTATCTCTCCCCTAAAACAACCGGCTTGGCTTTGAAACTATAGCATGACAGAAGTATAAGAACGATCGGCGAAGGAAAAGAGGGTGAATTTTCATGCCTTTTAAAATCCAACCTTTCTTTTGAGTCACCGAACAAAGATGGCTACGATTACACAGCCATCACGTGACTTTTGACGTCACTTCCGTGTCAGCAGGTGCGCCGACAGAGACGACAATATAAAGAGTGTCCGCTTTAAAAAATATTTTTAGTACAGTTGAAAGGATGGAACTGTCACTTTGAAAAACCGTTTTATCATGAACGGAATTGTATTTAAAATTTGCTCTGCCCCAAGGTATTGTTTTTGTCAGTAAGAGGCACGGGAATAAAAGTTTTTGGAGGTCAGGTTAATCTAGCTGTAGGCTTGTGGAGGGGAGAGGTCCGACCGGCAAAAGTATACATGTAATATGAGTAATGTCCAGACAGAAAAAAAGTCGAACAAACAGATGATGAAAACGTTGCAAATGAAATTGATTTAAATGCATAACAAGTTTCCTCGCGTTTACCAATGCTTTCCTCAAAAATAAAAATATTTATTTACTTTTTTAAAAGTTTTATATGAAGTTTAGACCGAGTTGTAATCTACATGTATAGGCCTACATGAACACATACATGTAGGCCCTATGTATATCTTTTTCACCCACTAGAAAATTTAAGGGGTGACAACTGCTCGTATTCATATTTCACAGTGCAAACATTGTAAACAACTAATAGAAATATAGTACATTCCCCACCAAAACAGTTATTGCAAATTAATATTGTTCTGGAATCTGTACTTGCCATCGGACTAACGTGGACCTTCGCAGATGGGTATGCCTCCTTAATAATCTCTTAAAAGATTATTACAAAAACAACTTTTAGAAAAAAGCTTGGACTTACTATGAATATACTCATTATAACCAGTAGCAAGCACCAGTATGGGGAAATCATCGCTAGATCTTTCTTTGCTTTGCTTTGCTTTTCTTTTCTTTTCTTTTCTTTTCTTTTCAAACCGAACAGTAGGTACAGTATATCTCATTAATTAATGTTCAGTTAGTACAGTACAACAATAGGTTCAGATTTCACTTTTCATATATACACTTTCAAGGAACGATTATGGACAGTACAATATCCAACTAATCTATACCTAGCTAGCTAGTACATTACAACAAACATGAAAAACCAAAGTAAATAATAAAATAATATAAATTTGTAGGCCTTACGCACCTCTGCCCCCCCCCCCTCCCCGACGCCACCACAACCACTTTCCGTATTTTAACGTCACTTTTGCACTTTTTACTCCTTTTATTAAAGTTTATTTATTTATTTATTTTTTAATTTATAATCTTATTCTTTGTTTATTTATTTTTACTTGATTTTTTCCCAGACGTAGCTATGAATTGGGCCTATCTTGAAAAGATATAGACTTGGGTTTTTAGATGCGGAGACCAGAAAAATATCGACCCATTTTATTGACCTAATTTACCAACGAATTCGCGTTCCCGTTGAAGACAAGTTTACACCCAGTAGCATGGTCATTTGTGTAAGTTTGGGTAAAATTTCATAATACAGGCTTAACATACTGCTGGATTTCATAAAAAATCACGCACTGTGTTCGTATCCAGGGGCGATTGCAGAGTCAGCAGGAAAGCACAACGGTTTGGTTCATGCTTGTGCATGTTCTCTCCGAAACAATAGAAAATCGTACGTCATAGCCGCCCTGCGCTGTATATGCAGATATATATATATATATTAGCAGGTAGAGGATATAGAAAAAGACGTTAAAATAATAACTTTACTGATTGAGCTACTAGTAACCGGTAGTGTATTTTTAATCTTTGATTTATAGTATATTTCTTCACTTTAGCTGTAACTGAGGTTTAACTTAAATGTTAAAGCTGTTACGGCTTTCTAAGACAGAAAACCTCTTACTTCAACGACTGAAGCCAGTTCAATGCATTGTGGGGCAACCCTGTAACGTCCACACGTTGCAGGGAACGTTAGTAGAAAGTGCTGGAATTTACACAATTAACACTGTTGAAAAGTTGACAAAACACAAGAAAGCAGAGAGAACCCTCTGGATAGGGCTTCAGTTAAGCTTAGTACGCACCTTTCAAAGGGGACTATCAGATTGGGCTTCTGATAGTGATACAGAAGACGAAATGGCCGAAAACAGATTCTGCTGCGACTATGCAAAAAGAGGGCAAGCAAGCTGTAAGAAGTGTAAACAGAAGATCGAAAAAGGAGTGTTCAGAATAGCCAAAGTTGTAACAAATCCATTCTCTGATGAAGGAGGAGATATGAAGCAATGGTATCATCCAGCATGCATCTTCGAAACCTTTCAACGGGCACGTGCAACAACTAAGATTATTGAAAAAATTGAAGATATCGAAGGACATGAGGTTATAAAGGATGAGGAGAAAGAGATCTTGGAGAAACTTATAAAAGGTAAAACACTTCTTTTACAGTTTAAAATGTTTTTTTAATTAATTGATTTATTTATTTATTATTTTTATTTATTTATTTATTTATTTATTTATTTATTTATTTATTTATTTATTTATTTTATTATTCTTATTATTTTTTTTTTGGTATGTGTGTGTGTGTGTGTAGGAGCATTTTCTAGAATAGGTGTTTATGTATGCTCAAATAATCTTGGTTTAGATACATTGTGACTGAACTTTCAGCAAAATGCAATATGAATACAAATTGGATTTATCGCACCATAACACTATGCATTATAGATTTGGACTCCAAGTTATCACCAGCCAAGAAGAAGGCCATGAAACAAGCAAAGATTGACTTCACAAACTTGAAGACTCCAGAGAAAAAAGACGCTACAAATGGAAATATAAAACATGCAGGCATGTATTAATATAATTCCTTATGTGCATAGTCTATAGGGAGATCTTATTATATCTTATCCATGTGAACTTCTTAATAACTTTTTATAACAAAGTATGAAAGGAAGAGACAGGAAACTGGTTATAATGTGATACAAAACACTGATAACAGCCATGACATGCTTTAGAATGATGATTGGTTACTTGTATCAAATTCTAGTAAGATGATCTAAAAGATCTGAAAAGCAGCCTGGATGCATCATGTTCAGAAGTATGTTTAAATAATAATAACTTTAAAAAAGCAATTGAATAATTGAGATGTTTGAAATAAATGAAAAAATAACTCTCTTTTAAAACAGAGCTGGTTTTAAATTATTATTATTATTATTATTATTATTATTATTATTATTATTATTATTATTATTATTATTATTATTATTATCAATAGATGATGACGATGAAAAGCCAAGTACATCAGGTTACAGTGGAGCAAGTTTTAGCAGCAAGGAGGCTGAAAAGGACAACTCTTTCCGCCAGTTTCGTTGCCTTTGTGCCGAGATTGCAGAAGAGGCCAGCTACAATGGGAAAACTGCCATTGTTCATAAATTTATTACAAAAGGAAGCAGTGGAGGTAGAGCACACCATAAACATATTTTTCATGTTTATTTCAATTACTAGTATACTTAAAGATTGTTGGTAAAAGTGAAGTTATAGGATATTAGTACTTTTTTTTTTTTTTTTTTTTTTTTCAAAACATAAAGTTAATAATTTTTCTGGCAGTAATTTGTACAAATGTGACATCTTGTGGAATCCATTTCAGAACTTAACTTTTTGTTGTACTAGATATAATGTTATTGGTACTATTTCTACATGTCCAATGATTTTGAAGTTTTTACACAAGTGTAAGGACATGCATTCTTCGCAAAAGATGTCTCCTTACCAATATGATTCTCTTGTACACAAGAAAGTGAATGTTTTTATTGTATGACTTCATAATAAAAACTGTCCTATCAGTTTTGTGATCAGGTGTGATTTTTAATTTCACTGCAGATGGATTTGCTGGCAGTCTTTATCTCATCATGAAATTATTGCTGCCTGGATTCGTAAAGCGTGTCTACAACATCAACAACAAACAACTGATTAAACTTTACAGTCAGGTGAGCAACATTTGGACTTGACAATTACAACAGCAGTGTGCATATTTTTTTAAGCTGTTTCTGATGGGTTATCCATTTTTATCTTCATTTTCACAAGTCTGCAAAGAGTAAACTTGCCCTGACCCCCCCCCTCCCCCTTCATGACATTATCAAATTCACAAAGCCATGCCATATTACTCTATAGCTCATAGCTGTCCATAAATGTTTAAAATGTGGATGTTTTATCTCTAAAATATTGTTTCAGGCATTTGGAGAAGATCAGGACGAAATGTCAGACCATTTTGATCAGGTAAGGAGATGGGACAAAAGATGTGACATTACAAGTTAAATTTTTTTATGTAGTCTGATGATGCTTTCCTTTTGCATATTTTCTTTGAAGCAGTAAGTTTTATTTTAGATATACACTTTTATTTACTGATCATCTTATTATTGGTTTATTCAGAGTTTTATGAAATGAACCTCTTAAAGTAAAGGTTTTTATCTACATAAGTTAAGTAGAAAAGTTCTTAAATGCGATAGCATGATTTTTTATAAGTGTTTTTAGTCAATCCTTGTAAGAAACCTCATTACATGTGGCATTGATAACATGATAATAATTAAGATAGAATTCAGCTTTAATTTGATGATGATTCAGATGAGATGTTTGTGGAAAATTTGTCATTTATTTATACCTGACCAGAAAAACTTTAAGACTGTACAAAAACCCTGCCAAGACAGCCCAATTTTGATAATAATTATTTAATGGGTCAGCACCAAAATATGTAAGTTCAAATTGGCCAAGTTCTGCCCTTGCCTGAAAATTTTATTGGTATCCTTCTATAGCTTTATTTTCGAGTTAGGCTATTAACTTACAAACCAACAAAAGCGAAAACATAACCTTTTTGTTGGAGGTAATCAATTATTTATGTTGCTTTCCATGTTTATTTTTCAGGGAGGAGATGTGGCAGATACCATAAAGGAGTTCTTTGAGAAGAGCACCAAGCTTCCTCCTCAGAAGAAAAGTACTCTCTCGCTACAGGAGGTCGGTTTAATCATCAGAGACGGCAACAACTTTATTCAAAATTATTGTTACTGTTGTGTACTCTTCCCTTATAAATCTTTCATAATAAAGATGAAATTATTTTTTAGTGCTTGTTATTATGTGTATCTAGTATCAACTGATTGGTACATCTTAGATTATTATGTTTATTATAAGTTTATGACACATTCAGATCCAGTTTCCATGTTGTTTCACCCAACATATTCACTAAGTCACAACTAACACATTTTGTAAGGCACCCTCGACATTTCCTAAGTCACACCAACATAACGTCATATTTCAGGTGGATGCATTTCTGGATGAACTGACACTCTACACAAGAGAGGAAGACCAGCAAAGGGCTCTTACAAAGATTGCTAAAAAGTAGGAAAAAATAAACTGGTTTTGTTGGTCAAACATAATATAAATTCAGTTTGATTAATGGGTGTGCTTTGGCAAACTTTTAAATAGCAGAATTTGAGGTTAACGAGAAGTGAAAAAGTGAATTTCCATTAAATTGAGTATAAATTCAAAATCTGTACTAGAGTTATTGCTCTTCAAACAGTTCTTATGCTGTTTCAGTTGGAGTTACTCAGCAAAACAAAGTTGTGAGTTAAAGTTCATCATATTTTGACACATGTTCATGTTGTTGTATTACAGATGTACAGCCAATGACTTGAAGATGGTGGTGCGACTTGTGAAACACGACCTACGCATTAATGCTGGTGCAAAACACATGTAATTATTAATTATGCTCTGTCTCTTTGCTCTCTCTCTCTCTCTCTCTCTCTCTCTTGTCTTAGTATTGAAATTCAGCAGTTCTGTTCATTGATTTCATGACCCCTTTCCCTCTATAGCTATCTCTCTCTCTTTTGTGTCATAATATTGAAATTCAGCAGTAACCTTTATCAATCTCGTAGATGTGTCTTTATATTGAAATTCAGCAGTATTTGGTCAGTAAGCTCTCTTTTTATTTCACAATCCTATTTATAGCCTGGATGGTTTAGACGAACATGCCTACCCAGCATTCCAAGCTTCCCGTAACCTGAAGGACGTGGTAGACAGGGTGATGGCGAACAAGGCAGAAAATGGCAGAAAGCCTGGGATGTCAAAGAAATTGAGCATCAAGGCCTCTTTGATGACTCCTGTATTGCCCATGCTGGTAGGCACTTTGTCCATGCACATACAATCTTTCTAGAAAATATGGAATATTTCTAAAGCACAGCATGTTATCATCTTTCTCAATTTCACTTAGTTTTTGCAAAATCATTCACATAGTACCTGGCTCTAGCTATGGTGGTTAAATATTATTCAGCTTGCGGAAGTAGAGCTAATTTCAATAGTAACCTGGATGGATGTAGTTCAGTAGTATATATTGTTTGTTACAAATCTTTGCAAAATGAATGGTGTGGTTTAGGTGTGCTCTTTTATAAAACAACATTCAGTGCTATTTCTGTCTCTCTGTGTTACAAATTCCAGCAAAAGGAAACTATCAGTTATGATCATAAGTTAAAACTTGTTTTCTTTCTACACAATATTGAAGCTCTTAAAAACTATCAGCGATATTTTTGTATGTATGTCTCTTTTCAGGCAGAAGCCTGCAAATCGGTGGCTTCAGCAATGAAGAAGTGCCCCAATGGGATGTATGCTGAGATTAAATACGACGGAGAGAGGGTACAGGTCCATAAGCAAGGGGACAAGTTTCACTACTACAGTAGAAGCCTCAAGCCAGTTCTACCTCATAAGGTTTGATATCCACCCTGAAAAATGGGTGTAGAATTGGGTCTTGATGATTTTACAACAGGGGCTGTTTAGAGTCACTGTTATTGCTATAAAGTGGGGATCAAAGTCCAGAAGAAAAATATGCAAAGTTAATTTGTGTGATTGCTCAGGATTTCAGAATTGAGAACTAAGTCTTCTTTGTCATTAGAAGTATTTACTTAGTCACCCACTAATGAAAATATTGTTTTTTTTTTTTTTTTTTTTTTTTACAGTATGCATTATCAATTTGTAGCATAAGTAATTTATGGTGACTAAGGTAAATTTAAGTTTTGCCATATTTTTTGCAGGTGTCACATTTCAAAGATTTCATCCCGAAAGCATTCGAAGGAGGCAATGATCTTATTTTAGACAGTGAAGTCCTGCTCATTGACACTAACACCAGTAAACCACTTCCTTTTGGTTCTCTTGGAGTACACAAGGTAAAAACAAAAATACAAACCTGTCTTTTATTTATTTTTAAAGGTTTTCTTTTTACAAATTGTACTACCTGATTTGACAAGGTAAAAATCGTAAGTAACTGGTTGTGAAATGATTAAATAAAATAGAATGGATTTATTGCATAAAATAGTTGACTCATGGAATTCTTCAAGAACTGGTTACATGTAAAAATAAAAGAAGCTGCCAGAGTGATTAGAACAATAATTGGAATTCCTATAAATTGTATTTAAGCTGAGCAGTTTTAAAATGAACAGAACAGGACCCAAGTAATATCCTGGCAACATGAAACGTATAATGTGTACTAATTGGCCTATTTTCTGTTCCAGAAAGCAGCTTTCAAAGACGCCAATGTTTGCCTGTTTGTTTTTGACTGTCTGCATTACAATGGAGAGAACCTTATGAACAGGTGATTTGGGGGGAAAATTTAAAGATTTTTATTGAATTTTATTTTTTGAAGATTTTATTTCTGCAACAGAAATTATTTCTGCGTACATATTAATATTATCTAATAATGCAATAAGTCTTAAAAAAGAGGATATTTAGAATAAACAAATGAAAAGATCTAGATATTATATGGCTATAGTCAGTCATAAGCAATGTGGAATTTGATGTTTTTTTTTTTTTTTTTTTTTTTTTCAATTCAGTTTTTTTTTTTTCTTTTTTTTTTTTTTTTGCCAGCACTGATGACTTGATTAATATATAATTTTTATTTACTGAAATGACAGTTCATTTGACTGAGGAATGTAACTTTTAAATTTTTTTTAAAAGACCAATCAAGGAAAGAAGGAAGTTTCTAAGAGACAATATGAAGGAAATTCCAAACAGAATTATGTTCTCCGAAATGAAGTTCATTAATGTAAGTTTGAAATCTATTTTTTTTTTTTTATGCCAGTCAATTTTTATTTAATAAAAAAGGGGTGTTTGCATCTTTTGAAATACTCAGAAAAATAACTAATAAAGGAAGCTCTTATGTTGTTTGTTTTAGTAAAGGGATACTAAATTGTATGTTTAGTTGCCTCCTCTGAGGTTTTTACCCATTAGTAAGTTTGTTAGTTCACGGCCTAACTCCAAAGTTACAAACAGATGTTGCTTAATTTTTTTTAAGATAGGTCAGAAATGTGCCAACTTGGCTACAGTTAGTTTTTAGTGGTGATCCAATTATTAATTATACCAGTAACTTATTCAAGTAAGACTGCTCTCTCTCTCTCTCTCTCTCTCTCTCTCATACTGTGATCCAGTGCACACGTGCAAGTTATTTGCTTTTGAGATAAAGTGTGTGTGTCATTTTTTTTATAAACTTGGGTAAATTTGTCTGATATAAACTGTTTTTCAGAAAGCAGAAGATCTTAAAAAAGAAATGATGAAAGTTTTTAAGGAAGGCTTGGAAGGGCTTGTTCTGAAGGATATCAATGTAAGTGCTTATATGATTGGGAAAGAGAAATATATCCAACAATAATAATATTTATTTCTAGCATGGCTCATTGCATTTTAAACATTTCAATGCACTTTACATTTATATGTACTGTTCGGTTTAAAATACAAAGCAATACTGAAAATGAATGCTGCAATCTTATTTCAAGAATAACTTTGAACTACTGATAAAAACAAAAATGAAGTTGGAAAACATCAGTCATTAAAGATTACATGCCTTTGCTTTTTAAAAGATTGAAGTACTTAGCTTTGTTATTACCAGTGTGATACGTAATATCCAAAAAAAAAAAAAAAAAAAATCCAGTGAAATGTTTAAACATACTTCATCATCATTACTGTAGTCCCTTCATTTAGCACCATAGACCAGGATGTAGCAGCTGCAGTATTAACACCTTCAGCTTTATTCTCTGAAGGAGGCAACAAGTTAAGATTTACAGTAACTCAGATCACAGCTGTTACTTTGAAAAAACTACCGATATAATTTTGTGCAATCCTTCACTAGATTGCAGTAATGTAAATCGCACAGCATTGACCCTGCATATAAAAACATGGCCCAGTCTTTCAGTTTATACACATTTTGATTTCTTGATAAGAGTTTCTTAATAATGAATTACTGCTAGTGCAATTGTCTCAATTAAAAATTGTAAAATTGCCCAATTCTCAATTTATTTAGTAATCACATTGACAGTAACGCGTAATTTGCCAAAAATGTAAATAAATTTGCCAAAAATGTAAATAAAAAAACAACACTGACAAATAATAATTATAACTTGACGAGACCAAGATTATAAAATTATAGCATAATACACTGCATATACTGTTGGGGTTCATATCGGGGGGACACCCCCCCCCCCCTTTTTTTTTTTTTTTTTTTTTTCAAACGACATATCTGATGTGCCCTTAATTATTTATTTAATAATTATATTTCAGAGTATATATGAGCCCGGTAAACGCCACTGGCTGAAAGTGAAGAAAGATTATTTGAATGAGGGAGCAATGGCCGACACTGCAGATCTGGTAGTGCTGGGAGCCTATTACGGGTCTGGGAATAAAGGTACAGTAACCTCACTACTTTCCATACTAAAGTCAGTTCTTTCATTTAAATCAAAGAAGACTTAACACTGAATGGTTTTAAGATTATAAGTCCAAGGTGGGTATCTGCTAGTGTAGGATGCTAGACTTAGGGACCATTCCCACAGATATTTGGATTGATATCTCCCTGGGGAGTCTCACTAAATTGCTATCAGCCTAACAGGCTTAAATGTAATTATCTTTACCCCCTAGCTGATTCAGTAGGCGTGACAGACATTTAAGCCAGTTAAGTTGACAGCAATTTAGTGAGACTTCCCAGGGAGTTAGACCGATCCAGATGGATCGATCTGGGCATGGGAACCCAATCTTAGATTCCTACACTACTGTTTGAATGAATTGCTTTTTGTTGTGTAATCACCTGGGCAAACACCAGTCTGGGGTTTATCTTCAAGTGAGAATTGTCTTAGAAGTAATGTCACAGTATTGTGTTAGATGAGACTTAACAATGCTGTGTTAGAGTGTCAGAGTGTTGAGTTAAATGTGACATCACAGTGTTAGGTAAGATGGGATGTCACAGTATTTTTTTTTCTTTTTTTGTGATTATATCAGTGTCGTGCTAGTTGTGACATCACAGTGATGCATTAGTTGTGAAATATCACTTTATTGTGTTAGTGGTGACAGATCGCATTATTACATATATTACCCTGTGTCTCCTCCAGGAGGTCTGATGTCTGTGTTTTTAATGGGCTGCTGGGACCCTAAACGCCAGAAATGGTGCACAGTGACCAAGTGTGGCAATGGCATGGATGACAAAAAGCTTGACCAGTTGCAGAAAGAGCTGGACATGGTCAAAATTGGGAAAAATCAGGCCAAAGTCCCTGACTGGTTAGATGTGAAGAAGGCTGTTGTTCCTGACTTTGTGTGTGCAGATCCAAAGGTAAAACCTGGTAGATGATTCCCTTCAAATAAATGCTTTGAAAATTTAATACTGAATATATGACAGTTCTCAAAAAATTATTAATTGTACAAAAATTATTCCCATCTCTTGGATAGCGTGGGGTTTTGTACAAGAAATTGATATAATATGTAAATTTTAAGCTTATGATGAATGTTTTCAGCATTGCGCCTTTAATTACATAACATTGTGTACTTCACACACACATTTATTTGCATACTTTGATGAGTTTTTTTTTCCTCAATTAGAAATCTCAAGTCTGGGAAATAACAGGGGCAGAGTTCTCTAAAGCAGAGGTCCACACTGCAGCGGGGATCTCCATTCGATTTCCACGGGTCACCAAGTTCAGGGATGACAAGGGATGGAGGGAAGCCACCAATTTAGATGAACTCAAGGTACTGAAGAAATAGGATGCCACTCATGACTGGTTTTGAATAGATTCAGAACTTATGTTAGGAAGAAAACACAAGGTTACAATTTACTCCAGATTCAATGGACCTACAGATTTATGTGATTGCTATATAGAATGACTATAAGACCCATTCTTCACTTTTACTGAAATTTGTTCTTTCAGCACCTGTTTAAAACATCCAAAGAAACCTCTGACCTGGGTGAGTCCAGCCTGATGGGTGGTAAGTCCCCTGTGAAGAACACACCGAAGAAAAGGAAACATGAAGACGACGATGATGACGATGATGATGATGATAACAGCAATAACCATTATGGCAACCCTTCACCAACAAAACAGATCATGTTGACACCCAGCAAAACCTCACCTGCTAAAAGAAACAATGATGTTACACCAACTAAAAAGCTAAAGACATCAGATGATGGCAATGTAAGTTCCTTTGAGGTATTTGTATAGACTAAGCCCAGTTTTGGTGTTGAATACATCTCTGAAGATGATGACTTCATATTTTATTTATGTCATTCTTAACAATTTTTTTTTCTATTTTTATTTCAATTTTTATGGTAATTTCTGAATCCTCAATTAAGGTTCTTGTTCCTGTTTTCACTACTGCTGAAAAATCTTTGTAAATCATTGTAATCACAAGCACTTACCTAGCACATAAAACCATTATTCAATCTGCAGTATATCTTTTTATACACCTGCTGTTTCTGTTATAATTTCTAGAACAAACCATCTTGCAAATATGGAGCTGAATGTTACCAGACAAACCCACAGCATTTGGAGCAATTTTCTCATCCTTCCAATAGGAAGATAAAAAGTCCAATCAAGTCGAAGGTCAGCAACAAACAGAGAATCTTAATGATAGGAACTAACCTTATTGATGATGTTTTATGTGTAAACTAAGTAATATATTAGATAATGTTAACTTATTAAGTTGAAAGAATGTTAAGTGACATGAATGTCAGAGTAGAATAATTGAGAAAGCATCTGATATTTAGTAACTTCTGTTATTTTTTTTTTTTTCATTTTTTTTTAAATTTATTTATTCATTATTTCTCAGACAGTTTTAAAATATTAAAATATAATGCCTCACAATCCAGTGTATGGCAGCAAAATCATTATGAAACTCTTAAAATGTGGGTTTATCTGTTCATCAGTGGGCTTGAAGGGTATAAAAAAACATGGATGCTGACTGATGACAAAAATGGCAGTAAGATCTGGATACCGCTCACATTTGATTTCTTTTTGTATGGTTGTGATAAAGTCTGGTGTGAAATGATCAGGTACATCATGCACATATCAGATACAAATAAATGTAAAGACTGGGTTAACTTAAGTTAAATGGGACTTTATTGAAAAGCTGCCCTTTATATTTCAGATTCTACTGGATATATTCAAAGGCTTAAAGTTCTCCTTGTCCAACAGTGTTGAGAAACTTAAGGACCTCAAGCGATACATCATAGCGTATCCTTTTAGATGTCAGTCAAGATTTTGTAAATTGGCAGCAATATCATTTTTAATTAACTATAATTATAATTGTGAAACAGTTCCCCAAATCCCTGCTGGTTTATTTATGATAAATTCAATAACCATAAACATGAAAGAATGGACATTAAAAATCAAAAATTCAAATATAGATAATTTTACTTTTTTCTACAAATTTTAATTACAGGGGAAAGGAGAATATTGTTCATTTCTTTAAAATTGAAGGAAAAAAGAGGCAGCTGCGTATTTGTGAAAGTTTCTTTGACCTTAACCTTGACCTAGATATGATGGAGATGTGGTTCCAGAGTATGATAGCAGTCAAGCCACTCATGTTGTAGTAGGAAAGAATGAAAAGGTATCTATAACATTGGCCTGTTACTTATTTGTATTTTACACTGCCACATATTATGCAAGAGAGACTTAGTTGGTATTTTTTGCACCAGATCTACTTTTTCTAAAGATAAAAGCAATTTTTCCTATGTTTTTGTTAACTGCTAGATAATTTTACAGGTTGAGAATCCAGCCAGTAATGTTGTGTCAGAGGACTGGGTGTGGGGATGTGTGAAGGAAAGGAAGCTTCTGCCTGTAAAAGACTGCTGATTTAACTCATGATTTTGAGGACAACATCCAGCAGTATTATGACTGCAACTGAAACAGGATCAAACCTAGACTGTAGTCACCAAAGCTACAGTCACAATACATTATAGATTGAGATTAGCATAAAGCTTTCTGTGATGGAATTATCCAGCCACTTGTATTTTGGCAAAGGGAATAGAACAGTTAATTTCTAATATCAGTGTAATTTTATAAGACCCTGTTCATGACATATTCCTGTCCCAAAATTGTCCAGTGCTGCCATCTACATTTTTTTGTCAAGAAATATGGAAAGACCACCATCTTTGTGGATGAAAGCATTCATTACAGGCATCTTTTTCTCCACAAAGGAAAGCTCATATTTTATTAGCATTAAAAGTGATTCAAACATTGTTGATTTCCTGAGATATAATTAAAATTGTTAATCTAAGTAGATGTGAGTCTAGTGGGCTACAACTGGTTTACTGCCTAGAATGTCTCGTAAGCCAGCTATAGACAGTCTTACACACAGGCTTATGCTAGCACGTGGTTCTGCATGTGGGTAATTATAAAAGTATTAACTTAATTATCAGCTTAATTTATTAATGATAATGGTATTCCCAGAATCTGCCCTTCCTTTAACATCTGTGGTGTGATATTTGAGAGGACATATACCAAGTAAACACCCAATCTTTGAAATGCAAAAAAATATAGATACAGATATATACATAATAAGTTAATAGATGTTACTAGCAAATGTTTTCCTTTGCATGTTGTTTATAGTAAATACTAAGCTTTCTGACCAAAACTAATATTTTATGTCTTTAATTATTTGGAAATAAAATAAAAAAGCAACCAATTTTGCATTCTGACCAAAACTGATACTTTGTCTGTTTTCAGTTAGGAAATAGTGTAAAAAAAAAAGCAACCAATTTAAAAACAACTGTTTCTCAATGGTTATAACATTATGTACCATCTTCTCTTCTGAGAAGTGATTCTAAATATACCATGACCTGTAGTTTTTAAATTAGAGCATGGAAAGGGAGCTCGTTGCCCTCAGTAAGTTAAATTATGGCGTTTTTGTTTAAACTGCCTGTGAAATCTACCTCTACTCCATCATTTTATTTGTGATTACTATTTTATGTATTTTATCATTATTATTATTGTTATTATTATTTAAAAATTCTTAAGGGGATAACTGTTCATTTTGGCCAAAAAGTGAATTTTCCTGGGGTAAACGATAACAATCCCTGTTTTTTTTTTTTCCCCTAAAAAGGTTGTTTTTTTTTTTTTTTTTTTTTTGTAATATTCTCTTAAGAGATTATTACAGAGTGTAGTAAGCTATAGAGGTCATGCGATGTGATGGCAACCACAAATTCCAGAATAATTGCCTTAACCACCATTTTAGTGGTTAAATAGAATTTACTAAAATTCTATGAGTTGTTTACAATGCATTTATTGTGAAATATGGATATCATATGAACAGTTGTTATCCCTTTAAATCATTTGGACAGTGTATATTCAATTGCCCATGAACATCGCTCTCAGATTTATTCAAGTTTGCCTGTTTTATGTACAGATACGGTATGTTTGAACGTATACCCATCACCATCTGTTTGTCATCGGTGTCATTGTTAGCTTAGCTGTGCACTTTTTACTATCAAAGCATTAAATGGGAAAGCATGCCACATATCTTCAAACTTACAGGTCAAGTTTAAATAGCAGCTCTAATGGATTATTTTTCTTGAAGTCATTTTTTTTCCACTTATTGGTATTTTTAGTGGAGCCTCTTTGGGCCTTGATCCAGAAGGCAGTTACATTTTCTGAATATGCACGTAAGTAATAGTAATTAATTTCAAATTGGTGATGATTTATCTGTTAAACAGCATTGGTAAGATATTGCATCAAAATTGACTGGCTGGTTATTTTTTTCTTAGTTGAGCGTTTCTTTTTTAGACATTGGCTTTTTCAATTTCTGTTGCTGACTGAAAAATGTATTTGATTCCATGATAGTTTGACATTCCTGATACAATTTTGGAGCACAAATGGGAAATAAGTATATTTCATGATTATTTTACTGTCAAAAGGGTGTGTTTTGCCACTTTTTCAATATTAGGTGACAAGCAAACGTAAGTCGCTCAAAAAATTAACTGCTCTAAACAGAAGATCATCAAATTTTTTAAAACTTATAGTTGTAGGAGATAAATAAAAAAAATAAAACCAAAGTGAGTAAAACGTTTCCACAGCTGGACTTTTTGCATTTGTGACAGTAACGTGTGTTCCTTTTTGGGTGTTAGACGATGAATTATTTTTTATTATTCATGGTTCCAGGAGTGTAAAACTTTGATACAGACTGCTGCATGTGGAGCCCCGAAATAATCAAACATAGTCTGTATTCTGTGCACTGAATATTTTTAAGCGGTTTTTTTTTTTTACCTCACTTGCACCTCTATATTGTGTTTGGGTGTAAAGTTCTTTCAGTATTATCAGCTTAATTGTCTGACACGCCCCCGTAAGTAAGTAGATGGTAATTGACTATCGTTAATTACCCCATAGCAGCTTGAGTAGGTGTTCCAGACATATTTATATCAGCGCAGTTTTAAGTAGATTTTAGTAGAGATTATTACGTCCAGGGTGTCAAGTTCCTTATTATCTCCATGAACCTTTGTATTCCTATTCGCACTTTCTTTTTGAAAAAATCCCAATTTATCCTATTCTCATGGTCTGGCTATAGTTTTATATGAATTCATGTCTACTGTGAGACAAAATATTAATGGAGAACGTGAGGGAAAATTGCTTCTAGAGACCCTAAAGGACCGTTTGTCCGGCTGCTGTGCGTCATGCCTCCTACACGTAGATACGTAAAAGTAATCTGTGTCTACTTGAAGTTGGAATTATTAAAATCGTTAACTGAAATGCATTCCTTGTACACGTACTTTGTGCTACAGAATTTAAAATGGTTTTAGTGATATTGGGAGACCATTGTCGTAATGAAATAAATCCCTCTTCGCGATACTTTTGCAATAAATGTCCTATTTTGATAGATTTTATTTTTTATTTTTTAAAGATATGTTTTAACTTGAGTTCCTATACTTCTGATAAACAGCCAATAATTTCTAGCCTTAGCACATGTTTGTGCATGCTTATAAATGCTAAAGTGTTAATACAATTATCAGCTAAATTCATGAAGTCGGTGTTTTGCAGACTTGCTTGCCGAAATAGAGCGTTTTCCACTGCATTTTGGTGATGGTTTGGACTTTATCGGGTACTTTATAATGGTTATATTGAAATAGAAATCAAATACAGTGTATGTGAAATAAGATATGTTTTCATTCACCAATGTCTATATGTTACATTGCATCTAAAAAGCGATTTCTTATATGCTATGTTTCGCCTGTCGAAATCTACACTCGACCAAAATGTTCAGAAACATAAGATTGTTTTTCTATAATTAAAAAAACGGGAATGTATATAAAAAGTAACGAATGGTGGGTGGATCAGCTCATATGGTTATTTTATAATTATTCAAAATAATGATGTTTCCGAACTTTTTTGGTCGAATGTATGATATGCAGCGTTAAAATTAGAGGGGGGCTCTTTTGCAAATGTTAAATAACAACGCTTTTGTTTGTGTTCAAATCGAACTACTGGCCTGTGAAATCTTCCTCTCCTCCTCTTTTTTTTTTTTTTTTTAATGTAAAAAGCGATATGTGTGTCACTTATTATCCTGAAACTGACACATAATGCATGGGTGTGTTGGGGTGTTGGGAGGCGTTCGTTGTCATAAAACGTTTCTTAATTTTGCAGTGAAGTCCTATTTTTAAGGTTTTATTTTCTACCTTTCCGTAGGCCTACTTCTGATAAAAAGCCAAGAATTCCTCACAAGGCCGTTCTTCCAAAGCTTAAGCACTTGCTTGTGCCTGCTATCATTTACGTAAGTGTTGACACAGTTACCAGCTAAATAATTTATTTTTACAAACAGAATTTGCTTTTCTCTTCATGGGGTTCATACAGCCTTAAAAAGTGCTTGAATTTTACCCTGTGTCTTGAATTCAGTTTGTGGCCTTAAAAAGTACCCGGAATTGCTATTAGCGTTGAAAAGGACTTGTATTCCCTCATTTTTGTCCGAGGAAAGTACTTGAAATGACTACCAAGTTATTTTGTCAAAATTATTTCATTTTTTTTACCTGAATGTAGACAATAATTCTAAGAACGGAGGGGGATACCTTTTCGGACAGCGTTTAATTTTACCCTTTTCAAGTTTCATCATTAACGTGTTAAATCAAATCACAAAGTTAATATGGCACACAACTTTTCCTTTTTCTATGTGTGTACACTAATAAATGGCAGCCCATTGATCCCAGTTGTATTCAGAAAGTCCTTGAAAAGTACTTGAATTAGATCCTCAAATGTCCTTGAAAGTCCTTGGATTTATTATGTTCCCTAATAACTCTGTATTAAATTAAAAATGATCCATTGTGGAATAAGTCAATAACCCGGGTATTTTGGTTGGTTACTATAATATGAGAAAGGCTTCAAGGTTGCGCGTGACTTGCTTGATTTAAACGACAGCGTGCACACGTGTTTTGATATGAAGAAATCACAAATGCATAAGAAACATGCTCTATTTTATATTATGACCTAAGGAACGTTATCTATACAGCGTTTCCCGATTAAAAAAATGATATACAGAAAGTTTAAAACCCGGTTATACCAAAATCAATTATGATTTTATAAAAAAAAAAAAAAAAGAGGTTGTAGCGAAATGTATGAGATATTTATCAAAAATAAAATTATACGAAGCTCAAAATAGATCAATCAATTAATACAATGGAATAGGTCCTTCAAACAAAAAAAAAAAGCGATAACATGGAATTTAAGTTACAATCGTCCCCTGGCTGATATGATGGTTCAACTTAAGATGCATTCATAGAATTGTAGGGACAAAATGCTTCGGCCCTCTGTTTGAATATAAACTTTCTGATAATCCTGAGTGCAATTATGTAAAAAATGGAAACAAACATTTGATCGTAGATTACGAGGTCCTGAAAACTTGAGGAAACAAATCAAAAACTTGATTTGGACAGAAAAGGGAACCAATTTTCAAATGTCCGCCTCTGGAATTATTATTCGCGGAAATGATGAAAAAAATGAATCTATTAATTTCTGAAGGAAAATTAACCATTTACAGTGGATAAAAATTCGGGGAGAGCTGTCCCTCGGGAACATCGATAGGCCTACTCTTTGGTAGGCCTACTAGAAAATAATGGATGTCAACTTAACACTGTGCATATAGCTATTATTATAGTGAGGACGATGGGGAGTTGGAACTTTCAAACGGTTATTCACTGACGGACTTTTCATACAAATTTACAAGTATTTTTTCTGTATTTTCCCGTACTGATCAAGCGTTTATAATTACTGGTTTTCTTTCCAATGTCTACTGCGTGATTACCGGAAATTTTCCATTCTCATGTTGCATACACGTTGACATTTGAGGAAATAAACTTGCACTCAATAACTCCCCGTACTTTTACTTATTTGACTCCTTATTAATTATTACTAGCAATTGCACATGTAGGCTAAGCTATGAACTTTGCAGCATAACTATAGATTTTTTATCTATGCAAAATGATTTTATAATTTAAATTATAGACACGTACAACTGAGCCTATGGTAGGCCTAAAGTAGGTGCGTATAGGCCTATGTAGGTAGTAAAACAGAAGTCGTCAAGTGTTTTCACAATGTATTGTTTAATTCAGAAGTTAAAAAAAAACATTGGTTCTGATCTTTAAGAATCGCAAAAAAATTATAGGCTAATGATTGTAGGCCTATTGAAATAGAATTCAAAAACATTTTAAACCAAATAAGCCGTTTTTCATTCACAAATGGCAAAATACTACACTGCATATTCAGCTTATTTCTCATATACTATATTTCACCTTTGTCGATGTCTATAATATGCAGCTTTTCAATTAGAGCATCGAAAGGGAGCCCTCTTGCTTCGAGCTGGGTCTTTTCGACAACAGCGCTTTCCTTCGAGTTCAAACTGAACTCATTTGTGAAATCGACCTCTCCTCTCAAAAGTTTTTTCGCGCAAAATATCAAATCGTATTTTGATAGCATGTATTCATTTTGCCATGACTGCGTTTCTCTGATTAATTCAAGTTGACCTGTTTTAATATTTTTTATCAAGTTCTCGTTAGAACGTTGCCTCGCGAGAGTTTCTGGATAGTAGGGCAGACGATATCTTTCTCGTGCTTGATCTTTTGCCCATTCGTCTATTTTCTCCAACTTCTTTACATCATTTCGAGGATATCTACCACTAGGGTAACCGTGTTTATTTCTATGCTGGGCAAGTGCGCTCTCTGTTAGGCGGCGGTGGTAATCTTTGTGGCGTTCGTGTTTTTGGCGCATTTTGGCCATTGGAATTTCTGTTTTTCGTCCAGGAGATGTCACGACCTTGACCTGGCGACCTCGATCTCGTGAACTTTCATAGGAGTAGCTATTTGAGGAGTCAAGGTCATCAGACGTGGCTCCAGTTATCAGCGGTCGCTCAAGAGGGCGGTGGTCTCCTCCACGATATTTTTCTCGCTTTCTGCCAGCTAGCCATCGCTCATCGGGGACTGTAACACTTGAGTCCTGGTATGACTCCGAGTAGCTGTACGGATCGCTGAAATAAAACGTAAAATTCATTGAATTCAGGAAGCACGTAACAGAAAATGAAAATAAGTAAAATAAAAATATATAGTATACAACAGAAAAAATAAAAGAGAAATAGAAGGCCATCTATGGCAAAAAAGAAAACTTGATTTGCTTGACAAAGTTGCCAAGTGGCTAGTATTAGACGAGGAATTCCAGCAAAGCATGGTTCTACATGTAACTAGCTGCGCACGATTTCATATTAGGGAACGAAAATGGATCCCTTGACGGTACGACAAAAAACAAATGGAATCCAAGTTGGGTCAGACACTGTTTTTTATAGCTACTCTCTCCACCAGAGACAAACTGGGTGATCTCTTTTTTCCCCAATAAAATTTTGTCTACAGAAATGTGCATTGAATAGCCAGAAAATATCTACGGATACCTAATGAAAGAAATTCGCTCTGTTACCCATGTATTCATGTTTTCTGAATTTCCCGAGTGCTAGCATTATGAGCTAGGGAGACACTGGTGGGAAATCCGGTCATAATTATACTCAGGGCACCTGTGCTACAATATGATATATTTTATGGGCCGGGCACATTTCGTAAACGTGAAATGTAGTTACTCTGTGCATATATTATGTAAATATTCAGTGAGTAAAACAGACAATTCAAAGGCCAGAGTTCTCAATCTAATAAACGTAGGCCCCTACTTTCGGTTATGGTGTTTAAATCCCTTGATTGGGAAAAAGTTGCAAACGTAACTAGAAGAAGCATCTGAGTATTTACACGCTATCTGGAATGATTTTAATATCCAACTAGAAAAGTTCCCGCCCAAAGGACGAGTAGGGCTCTAAGATAGTTCGTAAAATGAATTGGTAGAACACACGGTTTCAACAGGTAAAGTATACATATTGTAGAAAAATACATTGGTTTTTACAGCATTTTTAATCAAAAACAGAACCTTGAATTTAACGTTCAAAATACTATTTTGTACACCAACATTGCGGTTGGCAGAAGTGGGAAAGCAGACTTTCAATCATTTTTCACGGCCACCACGCGAATGGCGAGTGGTCCTAAGAATGTACCCGTTTGTGCACATTGCAATAGTACAGGTAGCACTGCAATCGGGTTTGAATCAGGAACCAAAGACGGGCTTCTCTCTTATTATAAAGAGAAAATGACACCAATAAAGAATTGTGTGTGTGTTCCGTAACTGCCAGCTGCCATCGGTTGTCAAATTTCAAGGGAACTTGACTCCAATAAAGGACAGTTAAGTATGTGTTCCGTAACCGGTAGCTGCCATCGGTTGTCACACTTCAAGGAAATATGTCACCAGTAAAGGTCAGTATGTGTTCCGTAACCGGTAGCTGCCACCGGTTGTCACACTTCAAGGAAATGGATCCACTTCCATATACCAAGAATATACTCCGGTCAAGAAGGTTGTCCCACCTCAGTGCTGTACACGTGCGTTTTTCTTTACAGATGTTACATGACAACTGTTAACCGTTTTTATTCCATATACCATATTTAACAAGACTTCTTAAGAAAAGCCAATACCGATAAAAAAAAAATAATAATTATTATTATTATTATTATTATTATTTATTTTTCTATGGCGCATTCCATTAAAAATCTCAATGCGCCTTACAACATTCACTTAAAAGAGCTAAATGTCACAGTACTAGTATAAGAACACATTACAATTTTAAAGGACTAAGAACTAATTTAAAGAACCAATTATTTCATATTCTAAAATGATAAGAAACTAAAGTGACAACATTTAAAATTGATCATAAAATTACAGTACACCTTATTAAAAACTAAAAATTAACTATATGATAGTTACTGATAGGCTATTCTAAAAATATGAGTCTTCAGAAGCTTTTTAAAAGTATCTATGTCACCTGCTGCTCGTATTTCAGAGGGTAAGGTGTTCCAAACTTTGGGTGTACATATCATAAATGCCCTTTCACAGTAAAATTTACCAGCTTTTTTCTCTAAGACACTGTGTTCTAAAAGTAAATGACTAAAAGTTGGTAACTCTTCCATGCTGATGTTGCTTCATAAGTTCTGAGATATAAAGTGGTTTATTCTCAGTGACTGCTTTAAAAATGACACATAAAATTTTAAATAAAATTCTCTTACTGGAAGCCAGTGAAGTTCCATCAAAACAGGTGTTATATGCTCTCGGCTGTTCCATCCCATTTTAGTTACCAGCCTAGCTGCAGAATTTTGAATTAATTGAAGTTTGTTCAGATGATTTTTGCCTAAACCATATAAGAGACTGTTGCAATAATCAAGCTTAGAAGTAATGAAAGCATGGACTAGTTTTTCAGTTGAAGTTTTGTCCAGTAAGTCACGTATCTTACTAATTCGCCAAAGTGAGTATGATGCCGATTTGCAAATTTCAGAGATCCGTCTATCCATAGTTGCATACTGATCAAAGGTGACACCTAAATCTTTCACATGATGGATGATGTTGATGTTGACACCACCGATACAAATATCAGATTTCATTGCATTTCCACTGTCTGACCTAGACCTTGATGTAAACCATATTAGTTCAGTTTTTCCATCATTTAGTGCTAGCATGTTTGTTTTCATCCAATTCCGGATCTCAACTAGACAAGTTTCTATTGAGGTGATAGCCATGGAGCGATTACTTTCACTTGTGACATAAATTTGAGTGTCATCAGCAAAAATGTCAGTGTTGAGACCATGTTTAACTATAATGCCTTCTATTGGTAGCATATACAATGGGAAGAGCAATGGACCTAGCACAGACCCCGAGGGACACCATACTCTAAAATAGTGGGTTCTGATAGCAACGACTCAATTGACACCTTTTGTGTTCGATCTTTTAAATATGAGGTTAACCAATTAAGTGCTAAATCATTTACTCCAAATCGGTACTGTAGTCTGTGCAGAAGTATGTTGTGGTCAATGGTGTCGAATGCAGCAGACAGATCTAAAAGGACTAAAATAACATCTTTTTGTTTGTCTAAGGAAAGCATGATGTCATTATGAACCCTTAGGAGAGCTGTTTCTGTGCTATGTCCTTCTCTATAAGCTGATTGAAACTTGCCATATAGACTGTTATGAGCTAGATAGTTATTCAATTGTATACATGCCATTTTCTCAAGAAACTTCCCTAAGAAGGGCAAGTTTGATATTGGTCGATAATTTTTAAACACTTGTTTGCACAGGCCTTGTTTTTTTTAACAAGGGTCTAACAATTGCTGTTTTGCAGTTGGATGGGAAGATGCCTGTTGTAAAAGAGAGATTCACTATCTTTAAAATAACTGGGACCAGAACAGTAATGCACTCTTTGATAATATGTGTTGGCACAGGATCTAAGGCAGAAGATTTAGAATTCATGCTTTTCATTAATGCTAAAACATCTTCTTCTGAGACAGGTGAAAATTCAGTCAATACTGCATGAGTACAGGTAACTGGGGTTTCTGAGATTTCTACAGAAGAAAAATAAAATAAAATAAGTGAAATGAGGTGCAATTAGAACAAGCTACTGAGCATTTACACTCTATCTGGAATGGTTTTAGTGTACGTAAAATAAAACAAGACAGCGGAAACAATGAAGATGCTAAGAGGGGGTATACAGACATTAACCCACCCTACGCTTGGAACTGGTGTCTGATTCCCAAAAGAACGAGCCAAAGAATTTATCTTTTAAGCATTTAGCCTAAAATTTGTTCAAATTCAATTTAAGAGTGTGTCCACGAGAANCAATTTAAGATAATTTCATAGTTGCTGATCGGAACCATAAGCCATGTTTTTCTAGCTATAAACCAGGTGCAATATTTAATATAATATTGTGCGACTATTGATCTACATGTATCTTACTTTAAAGGAAACTAAAAATCTGGTCTACGAGTTTTGACCAATTTTTGGGCTGAAGACGTTTTACGAAACTAGTGAGTTCCCCTCATACAGTGCATTAACCCGCCAGCTGGTGCACCTTTTTAAAGACAATTGGAAACCCACTCGACTTAACAGCTGGCGTGTTGGTTACTGGAATCGCCAGAGGCACGCCAATATCAGAGTTGAATTTCCAGGGACCTTTCACAGTGACATTCAAGGTAACAGGAATGGTACTCCTACGAATGGTACTCCGGGTTTCCATATAATCAGTACAGGAACGGTTTACATTGTACACCTTCCATATCGAGCTTTAACTAACGCGGGGAAACACCGCACCTTACAAATCTTTCTACCATGCGCAACATCACAAATGACGCAGCGGAACCGCCTTCTTGAGGACGGAAGCAATTAACAACTTCCATCTGAATAACAAGGTGCAATGAGGAACTGGAGGCATGAAGGTCTAATTGAGTGGGTTGGGGGCCGGCATAATGGGGTGGCGTTTGGGTGCCAATTATTTTAACAATTATATATTGTGCGTCCAGTGTATAATATCCTGTTTTTCGTGTTTTCTTGCTTGAGTCTTCTTTGAGACTTACCCAGTCTTTCTGGTAGAGTTCTTGTCATACAGGACCACCTGGCTGATGCTGTCATCTTGGGGACTGTCATGACGCCTGGCAGGATGTTTATCTGTGTTTTTGAATGTTCCCCTCTGATTTCGTCTATTAGGCATATTTTTTTCTGGAAGGAGTTTTGTTTTGTTAAGTTAACAAAGACAGGCTATGTCCCAGTCAAGTCAGGTAAGTACAGTTTAATGTCGTCACCATGGCGCCGTCTGCAAACACTGCTAAAAAAGTAAAAATCCGCCTTATTTTTCTAAGAATGTCTCCCAAGTCATCGTCCTGCACGTCATTGGTTGACCGAGAAAACGACAATACTATCTATATTTTCACTTCTACGGAGCGCAGTGGCTGTGCCAGTTCTGCCAATGCCTCTAAATGAGCAACCTTTGATTTAGCTCAATTGCTTTTTCGTTACCTGTTTCACGGCAATGCTCCATGTAACCGTTTCAGAGCAAAAATCGTTAGCTTTTGAATTTAGTATAAATAGGAGCGCTGCGGAATCGTTGAAAAAATCGATTGAGTTAATAAAGTCTCTTATTTTCTGTTGTTCGCAAACTCCAGGTATATCGAGTCGTTAGAGCGGGCATTATACAGTTTCATGGTGAATTGTTTTATTAGCACGTGTCGTTCGAAGTCAGCAGTTACGACCACGTCGGTGTAAAGTGTTGAGGGCTTAAAGGCCTTTATGTAGCATAAATGAATATTTCTGAAATTTTGGATCCATTTTTCTTCAAACACAAAAGAACACCATGTTCAATACTGTTGACAAAATTTATTGATCTGTCAACCCGCGTTTTCAGTTCTAAGTTAATCATTTTAGAGTCACTTGTGTAATGGGTATCAAGACACTGGTGAATCTCACTAGTAAAGTCAAAAATACAATAATTGAGAGAGAAACCGGTGTGACAGGGATGATTGTCTTCTAGGAACCGTAGTCCGTTTCCCATTACTCTGTACAGGTGTCATATTCTAGCCCCAATCCTCTGACTATAGCCCTAGCCTGTACTAATCATATGGGACCCCGGACTTCTATTCTTAGGACAACCATTCCTCAGAATCTTGTCACACCTGTTTCAATCTTATTATTTCAGCTTTCACCTTTAATTCAGCATAAATTTTATTCTTGGTATGGTTAAATGTAACGGTGTTTTTTTTTTTTTTTTTTTTTTTTTGGGGGGGGGAGGGGGGAGAGGGGGGCGAAAAAACGCTTGTTTGGTTTATCTCCATTCTGAATCATAATGTGATATACGTTCTTTCTAATTCTCAAACTGGTCATATAATGAGGTAAAAAGGTTACCTTTTTACCCCGTGCAAAAAAACCTCCTTTAAAATTTCTGGGTACAGACGTGGGTTGCCAAAACAGACTGAATGTTTACCACGTTCAATTTAACGAGTCGGAGTTTCGAACGCTTTTCATCGTCCGATTTTCATAGAAATACAGGGGAATTGTCTCTCCGCACGAACCACTTGTTTGCTTATTTTCTGTACAGTATCTTTTCCGTAGTCTTAAAGATATTATTTCCTTATTCAAAATCACCTCATAAGGTAATATCTATGAGTAATCTTTAAGTTTTATCAAAATCTTAAAATATTATTTTTTTAACATCATGTTTGGAAAGTTCAGTTCCCGGCTGTTTTCCACGTCGTGGTAAATCACTTTTTAATTGCGAAATTAACCAATCAACCAAAACCATGTGTGACTATAACATTTTCCATTCTTGCCAAATACACAACTTTATCACTAGATGACGCTTAAGAAAATTATACTTGCACTTAATAGCTTTCTAGGTTTTCATTTGATTGAATTTACTTTACTCCTTATTTTGCGTTTATGATTGTAGACATCGTAACCATTTAACTTTACGACATTGGGGCAGTAACTAGCTTCTCCCATTTTTACTTATAAAAGAATTTGGTGGGAAGCGCGTGCAAAATAACGTGATAGGCACACCCCCCACTGGGTGTCCATAATTGGTGGTTACAATTTCTAACTGAGAGATTCAAATGTACCTTTCGCACATTAGACTTCTTAGTCCTTAAAATGAAAAATCCACCGGAAACGACGCATAATCTCTTTGTAAATTTAATATCAGCCAAACGAATCAACTTTTTCGTGGGGGAGGGGGGGGGAGGTATGCCTTTGGCACCCATCTATCCATCATAAATATATTGACACAACACGTGGACTGGCTGGAAGGGTACTCTTTCATCATGTATCTTATAACGGTTCCCCATTGACTTCCAATGGCCATTTCTAACGCCCGATGTCTTTTAATGATCATACATACTATTGCTAATACGCCACTCCATCTCAATCTGAGGTAAGACGATAGCCGTGGCGCTAGGGGCTTCGGAATTATGTTGGGTTTTTGCGTATATGAAAATAAAACGAGGAGGAAAAGCGTAAGTCATAACCTTTGCCCCTTCAAAGAAATTGTCAAACTGTAAGGCTTTCACTGCATGGGGATTAACACCTTAGACCTATATAAACCACGCTCAAACGTTTCAGCGCATAATAGTTTCACGAAGTGCGAATGAAACAAGATATGACAGGCATTGCAGAAAGTCAACTTTTTAATGTTGCGACGTGCTGTTCGCAGAAGATGTTGGTTTTTGCTTTTGCCTTTGCGGTCTGGACGACGTACATAGTGGCCTATCCTGCAGATGGGCGAGGAGAGGAGAGCGACGACGTCGGGATAATGGCCTATGGAGATCTACAGGTAAGAGTATTTAGTTTTTTATAAGGAAATAACGAAAAACAACGCGATCATCTAGATACATGTTAAAATTTAAATTTCTTTATTTTAGCGAAAACAAAAAACGAATATGTTTTAAAGATTCCTAACGAGAGAGAGTACAACAGTGTTTATTTCTTGTAAAGCAAACAAATTACTTCATCTACGCAAATTAAATCCACATTCCCCCCTCCAAATAATAATTATAATAATAATAATCGCTCGGTCAGTTGAAAAAAGGCTTTAAAATGGGACCTTCTTCAAACCTCTGGTCGTTAACTTGACTTATTTGACCCTCCAACTCGCAATGAAACTAAACAAAAACGATATAAAAGCATGAGACGAAACCCAGTTATCCAGGCTGTGCTAAAAATGAATAATGATATTGTCCAAGTATGTTAAGTATTAGCTATTGTTTTATTAGACAGAGAGGGAATTTATAACGAACCTACATGGGGAAAAACTCTTTGGAGAGAGTCCGTGGAGGACTATAGATTGCCTTAAACAAGATAAATGTACATCACTGTTTTGAGAGCAGGAATAAAACCCCGAGTACATTACACATAAAGAATTTGTGAGATGCAGCATAGATAATATAAGGCAAAATTATTAACCACATAATAATAATAATTATTATTATTATTATTATTATTTGTTAAGCATTTAACGCGTCATTTACACTCAGCTTCTGTTAAATATGCTGTCTTAGTAACTACAATGCCGATTTCAAAAGGCTTGTATAAGACGCACTTCTCTCGCTGACGGCTGCTTTGCCATTGTGTGGTAGCACCCATTCCCAGGGCCTCAGATTGATTTTTCACTGTAGGCCTATATTCACAGACACAATTTTGTACAGTATGTCTTTGGCTAATTCATGCCTTTTTTTCTACTGCGAAAATTTTTGCCTGTTATTAATTTCATCACTCAACTGACCTTGTAGTATATAGAAAGTGTGACAGTGTCTTCAAGCAGTAACTACTCATTTTTTTCTCATTCACACGGAGTCTGTGCATTCGACTCAGCAAGGTTTCCAATTTATGGTCTCCAAACACGCATTTAATTTCTTACTTCAGTCTGGCTTTGAAAGTGCTGCTCTCGGTCAGTTCAACGACGATGACACTTCAAAATTATTATCTGGTCTTCGAAATCTAGAAAACAGGTTGGCCAGTGGTGACAGCATTGAGCAAATTTCTTCTATGACGTCAAAAAGACCGGAAGGCATTGACGAACCAAGGAAGCGCCAAGATAAAGGTCAGACCGTTCATATTCTGTTTTATGTATTTAATACACGTTTTGAAGTAGTTATCAACGTTCTATGGAAAGATCGTTAATTGTAAAACATGACCTTTATCAACCATTATAACAGCAATTTTGTTTTTATTTCTACGTTTATTATTTCACTCTTTTCTTCTTTCTTTTATCTTTATTTATTTATTTATTTATTTATTTATTTATTTATTTATTTATTTATTTATTTATTTATTTTTGATACAAAATGTTCTCAATTGTAATTCCGTTGTATTCCCTTAGGATTCCCAATGTGCATCTGGAAGATATGCCCTCAAGCGCCGTGGACAAGGCATGGACGGAGGCGATAAAGGAACCATTTCTGTCCACAAAGAGGACAAAAAATGACCGAAATTTCTGCTGTTTAGTTCTTCATCCTTCGCCAAGAACAAAATAGGTTTTTTGACTGTCTGTCCCTCGTTAACCATACCTTACCGGACTGTATCGACCGTTACTTTTTTTTAAAGATTTGTAACTCACGAATAAAATTTCTCTGGTAATGGCACCGCCTATTAGGGTACCGTGTGAAAAAATCGGAGCTGGATGCTTCCTTCGCTGGTATCATCTTTGTTACCACTGGTGTTTTCAGTATTCAGTATGTTTGTGCTCGTATTTCAAATGTCCAAACACTGCCCATTGTATAATCTTAATGACAGAAAGATTTTCGCATTCTGAAAAATACAAGCAGCCTTGCAGGGACTACAGTATTTAAATAAATTATAATTAATATTTTAAAATGTTTCCTACATGGTGTGGTAGAAATGCAGTCAGTGGCAGTTTTTGTCTGATAAAATTTATACATAGAAAGCTAAGATGTATAAGTGGATTTAGATAATAGATATAGATAATATTCCATACCTAGCTGTTCAAATTTTTAATGTCCTATGTTTCAAGCTGGTAATCCGTTAGATCTGGATTACAGGGATTTATTGGGTTGTGCGGCAACTTATGCCCACCACGAAAGGGTGGACTGGTGTTTGAATTAACCAGTCACTTAATGGTTTATTTGATTGACAATTTAATTGGTAAAGTTAAGCAAAAAAATCTGTCAACTAAATATTAAGGGAAAATTGGATCGAGGCCGAGAATGGATCTTTATTGTACCATGTAACTTTTAGTTTAGCAAAATATATTCTGTTGAAGTTACAACATGGAGTCATTTCATTCTTTTCCGTGTGCAGAGTTTAAGGCATACAAGTAGAACCTGGGAATCTCCGTAGCAGTTTTACAGATTGCGTTATCCAAAGATGTGAGCCCATGGTGCTCAACTTCTGGGGATTTATTATTTATAGTTTGATTATGGAGAGGAAGAAATTTTTTACTCGGTTGGTGTTGGTGGCGAGAATATCGAGTCACACTGGGTTGCTCGAGCTGGAACACCTTGACGACCGAGCGGTGCGATAAATTGATAAAATACTGAGAGCGAGGTTTTAGCAATTATAGAAGGTGGGGTAAATAAAGATTCAGGAGTTGAGCCATGATTGATCAGTGATACCCTGAGTGGAGGAATGATTGCGTGCGGCGATCTGAGTGGCGACAGTATGCCTGACGACCACATGTGTGCTACTGCTCGAGCGAGGGAGACTCCCGAAGTATATTGCACTATAAATGAAATTATAGTCTTCGCCAATAATTTTGTACAAGGGGTTATTTGATGTAGAGCGGGGCTCGGGGTTGTTCATAAAACAGTCCCTTACAAGCTGGCACAAAGCTAGCTAGAAGCTACGTCCAGTAGTTTCCCAGTTGACAATTGTTTAATGTCTCTGTGGCAAAAGTCACGTTCATAACCGAACCAAGTTGCACAAAAATGACTTTATGACGTCACAAGGCTAATATGTTGCAGAAATACTTCCGCCTTAGATTTTTTTATTGTCCGTGGTCGCTGGTCACACGCGATTGTGATTGTCGTATGACATAGAATAGGCAATGCGTTTTTGTTTTCTTTTATGGCGAATTCCATTAATGAACTGATGTCAACATGGCATCAAAGAGATTATTCAAAGTTATTTAAATACGATTTTAATTCTTGTTTTCATGTATCAGTCAGCAAAAAAGGAAAGAACTGATGAAAATTGATTTGGAAAAAAATATTCCATATTAAATGTCAAGTCTGTATATTACGAAGAAGGGGGAGGGTACTATGCCCCAACCAGCCCATCCCACCTACAAATTTGTAGAATATAAAAATGCTGCACCGAATACCTAAAACTTAAAGGGATAATAATTCTTCGTTTTGGCCAAAAAATGAATTTCCTGGAGTAAACAACAATTTTTTCATACTTACCAATGGTTTATGAATCCAATTCTACTTTCAAAGTTAGTCCCTGGTTTTATTCTAAAAAGTTTGTTTTTTTGTCAAAATCTCTTAAGAGATTATAACAGAGCATAGCCATCAGTAGAGGTCACGTGGACTGAAGACAAGCTCAGATATCAGAATAATAGCTATAACTGCCATTTTTGTGGTAAAACAGAATATATTACATTTCTGTGAGTTGTTTACAATGTTTTTATTGTGAAATATAGATCTCATACGAAGAGTTTTTATCCCTTTAATTTTCAGGAATTCTATAAACCTCATCTGCCAACGTATTCCATATAGATGTGCGGACTAAAATACGAACAAGCACCAGAATTATGTTTTAATACAGTTAAGTCAAATAACCACACCACAGATGATTATTACTATTTTTAATATATTGTATGCGAGTTCATTTACACTAACGATGTCTTTTCTTAGCAACGACGCACGTGTGTTCACAAATTATCACATTATTCCGGATACCATGTCTAACATGACTAATGGTACAGAAAAACAAAATACCGGTAGTGATATGAATATTTATATATTCATCATGCATTCAAGTTTAGAACGTGCACCCTCTCAAATCTAATGCTGTACTGTGATTTCCACAGAGGTAAAACTATCTCTGAAATTAAAAAGACACCTCCAAATCCCAATAGGGTTAGCATATACATCATAATCTCCGTGTTGATCTTGTTTAAGAAATTATAAAAGCTGAAAGTTCACCTCTAAAAAAACAACAAAAACTAGGTATAAAACGGCCGAACTTTCGAACTTCAGGGACTAAAGGAGTATAATCAAGCAAACGTCCTAAGTTTTACCATAACTTTTACATTGCTACTATAAATTTTGTACGTATTTTTTATTGATCTTTATAGATGCGTGGGCAGCATTTGAGACGAAAATCATCAGTGCAGTGTGATGGGAAAAGGACTACGGTTCCAAGCGCGTTACCATTCCAGCCAATTTCCCTCAAAAATTTCAAAATATCTAGCGAAACGATACAAAATTCTGCACCTTACATACAGTAAAGCAGTCCTAGTCTACTTTAATTGTCTTACATTACGCTAATTTTTCAGCCTTTTGGCCCTCCCCCAACCCTGCATGTAGCAAAATACAGGTTCCGCTAGAGGACGCTTTGGCCTAGACTCGGCTAGAGCATCATTGTGGTCGACGATTGTGATGGCAGGGAACGTTCACAATGCATCTATCGCACTAGCTACTGCCCACTTACTCCATTGACTGAATGTAATCAGATTTACAGATAAAAACATCGCCTGTTGTTTCCAACGAATAATCAGCAGCTTTTCTGAATTCTACTCCATAAAGTCCATAAAGTCTGACCGGANGAGTTTAGAACGTGCACCCTCTCAAATCTAATGCTGTACTGTGATTTCCACAGTGGTAAAACTATCTCTGAAATTAAAAAGACACCTCCAAATCCCAATAGGGTTAGCATATACATCATAATCTCCGTGTTGATCTTGTTTAAGAAATTATAAAAGCTGAAAGTTCACCTCTAAAAAAACAACAAAAACTAGGTATAAAACGGCCGAACTTTCGAACTTCAGGGACTAAAGGAGTATAATCAAGCAAACGTCCTAAGTTTTACCATAACTTTTACATTGCTACTATAAATTTTGTACGTATTTTTTATTGATCTTTATAGATGCGTGGGCAGCATTTGAGACGAAAATCATCAGTGCAGTGTGATGGGAAAAGGACTACGGTTCCAAGCGCGTTACCATTCCAGCCAATTTCCCTCAAAAATTTCAAAATATCTAGCGAAACGATACAAAATTCTGTACCTTACATACAGTAAAGCAGTCCTAGTCTACTTTAATTGTCTTACATTACGCTAATTTTTCAGCCTTTTGGCCCTCCCCCAACCCTGCATGTAGCAAAATACAGGTTCCGCTAGAGGACGCTTTGGCCTAGACTCGGCTAGAGCATCATTGTGGTCGACGATTGTGATGGCAGGGAACGTTCACAATGCATCTATCGCACTAGCTACTGTATGGGCGGCGGTTTATACAAAAATGCAAAACACGATTAGTCGTCATCGTTATCAGATCAGTCGAAATGAAAACACGATTAGTCGTCGTCGTTATCAGATCAGAAGGCAAAATAGGGGAGAGCGGGGTTGGTTGGAACNATAAAGTCCATAAAGTCTGACCGGAAAATACGCTTAAAAAAGAGCATGCAATTCTATTTTTGCGAGTGTGCGCAGGATCTGGTACGATGGATTCTTTGCGAACGTACCCTTAAAGTCCACCCTACCGCTTCTTCCGTATGTCAGCTGTCATGGGTGTGTGTTCTTTGATTAAAAATGAGGGTCACGTGCAGTTGTATACTGGAATGACAATGGGATGGAAATCAGACATAAGTAAAGACCCTTTTCCCCCTCTTGTGATACTTGCGTGAGCCTGCAGTAGAAATGCGTTAGTTGAGATGCGTTCTTTTCACTATCACAATGCCGTCTTTTCTGAAACTTAGGTTATCACGAGTGCAATTTGCTTCTTTGTGTGGTGCTCAGATTTTCTTTTCTTTTTTTCTGTGTTTCAAGTGCATTAGTTTTATTTGAATGACCTGCATACAAAATAACTCTTCTTTTTATAAGGTATACAAAATAACTCTTCTTTGCTACTTCAGTTACATATTTTGGGGGGAGGGGGATCATTCCACATGCCACTATGACTTATATGGAATCACATATGGAACCTTCTTGTTACACATTCATAAATAGCTAATGTGTACACGTTGCTACTAAAATAAAGACCAGGTGTCTGCAAGAATGAGATATGATGCGCCGCAGCTCAAAAATCGATTTTCTATCTTTGTCCAGTAGTAGAGCTTTATTGGTTCCAACCTCTCCAAACCAGAATCCTTCCTTCTCAGAAGATACTTTTTGCTTGATTTTAGGCGGCCAATTATGTAAGATTTGTGGAGATTGGCATCTTAAATTTGTGTTTCATCGCCTAATTTCCAAATTGAGAAGTTCATTTATCACGTTTTGTGCAAAGAAATGTGAATGCTATGCGTCCTAAACACTTTGGCCACATTCAGAATTGGGGACTAACTAGTCCGAGGGTCAAATATGGCTGATCCACTTGAATACTTCCCCACTGGATATCTATTCAGTGTCTAGTAGCGGATTAGACGGCAGGCTTTGTAGTGGGTCGCCATATTTGACCCTCGGACTAGCTAGTCCCCTATTCTGAATTGGACCATTGGTAGCATTATGTTATAACACATTCGTCCTACTACCAAACTTAACCACAGAAACGAGCAAACGATGTGGACAGAGCTCGACGCGCGAACAGAGTCATAATTTTTCTGATATAATTATTTACAATACTAAGCATTTATAATTATAAACAAAGCATTAACTTTATGGAACTTTA